CAATTTTTAATAATTTAGTTAAAAAGCAACATTATTTCTTTAAAAAATTCTTCTATTTAGTATAACACATAAAGTTAATGCAAAATTTTGTTAATTGCATTCCAAAAATTGTCGTCGGAAAAATGTTGAAAATTTGAATTTAACCTCAGGGGAGGGGCTGGAGAAATGTATGTCATTTATTTTTGTTGTTGGAATTGTTGTCAAGCAATTTTTCAAGGAATTACAATGTTTACCCGAAAAAATTGTTGTAATATATTTAAAGATATAATGGTGAACACGGTTTTTGAATTGGTTTTGGGTCATAAATAATCCATAATTTATAATAATTAAATAGGTTTTAAGAATAATAACCACTAACCAGCAATGATATTAAATAGGTTAAATTTCAATTGGTATTTAGTACATACATCTGCATTTTAAAAACAAATAAGAAAGCAATTGAACAATCAAAACATAATAGTATAAAAATAATAAAACCTCAATCGTTTTATCTTTCGTCCATAAAACTTTTACAAAAACAATAATTTATAATAATGATATTATTCAATATGATTATATTGATGTTTTATATAGTCACGATGATAAACATTATGGCCGAAGGTATGAAACCTTAGCTAAATTTGTATTAATCTTTATTAAGTGTACTAATTTAATACCGATTTAAAATTAATATAAGTAATGTTATACATTTATACATAATGTGTGCATATATTATAATTCATTTGTTTTACATGCTTTAAATTGTATAATTTTTAGGCAGACCACTACTGGGTGACGATGACGGACCACTACCAGGTGGCAATTGTCCATATTCCGGTAAGTATTCATTAAATTAAACCATTCGTGAAGAACTTATACAGTCATTAATTTATCCACTTATTCATCAACTTTTCGGTTTTATGTGAATTTTAGGGCGTAAGCCGTTTCGCCCAAGAAAAACTCTCCCCATTTCGCCCAGACTAGTTTAAATCAATTTTAAATTAAGTTCGTAATAGTTCAGTCATATATTATATTTTAGCGATGGCCAAGTTATAATTGGATAGGTAGGTATGTGCTGTATCTAAAATTTATTAACGCAGTGCATAAACACTGTAGCTTATCTTATCTGGTATAAGGGTATAACAGGTAAAACCAAAAAATAAATGACATAACTACTAATAATTTATAAAAAAATAAAAATATAATATATATATATATATATATATTTATATAACATAACGTGGTCAGTGGTATACGACGTGTTAACATATCACATTTAACTAAAATGACTGTTTTTAAAAAGTAAAAGATACAAAGATATGTTAATGTTTAATAATTATAAATATAATTTTGATTCAAATAACGTAAATATATGTAAGATTTGTAGGCGTTGTGTAAAACGTTCGTGTTCGGCAACCTTATATACGTTTGGTTTTAAAGTGATAAATAAATAAAATATTTTAATTTCTGATCAACAACGGCACAATCATATTCCATGCAATAATTCTGACATAAACCCTCAAATTGTAAGTACTGCTTGTAAGCAGAAAACTTCGGAAGAATTTTTATACAACCAAAAAAAATTATTTTAAAAGAATTAACATAAAACTGTCAACTTGCTGATGGCTTAAAATCAAATGATTTTAATACAGTTAAAAAAGTAATATACAGAAATAGACGTAAAGTTCTTCCTGTTTTACCAAGTAACATAGTTGAAGCACACATAGCTTTAAATACATGTGAAACTGTAATTTCAAAAAACGAAACATTTGTTTTAATAAATGATCAAGACAAAAATTTTATTATTTTTTCTTGTTGGACTTATTTAGTATTTTTAAACACAGTGAACACAATTTATATAACTTTTCAATATTGTACGCGATTTTTTACGAAAATTGTATTATTTATGGTTTTTGAAATGGACATTATACACCGTTCATTTTTTTTCTACTTCCTGATAAAAAGTATGAAACATACTTGTGTACGCTTAACGCAATTATTGATAAATGTAATAAAATTAACTTAAATTTCTCACCTAAATACATAACTATTGATATTGGACTGAGCATACACTCAGCTGTTAATGAAATTTAACCTTCATCAAAAATCGTTGGATGTCATTTTCATCTAACTCAGGCATGGTTTCGAAATATTCAAAAGTATAATTTAGCTACAGAATATAAAACAAAAATGGGTAAGTGGATTAAATACATTTTAATTAAACAACTAAATTTCTAACGAAAGTAAATTTACTCCTTCTCTATGGACATGTAATTCAACGAGTATTTTGCTTACGAAAAATACACGCGAGTCGTTCATTCATTCTTCAATGACCATTCTTATTCCAATTCTCCATTCACATTAAGTTGGTAAAATGTGAGGAATTATTTCCGAACTGATACATATATAAAAATCAATAGCGTTGACATACCAAAGACATCAAAAGATGCAATTATAATTAAAAGGCAAGAATACAATCAAAAACAAATAATGTGGGTACCGATCAAATTAAATTATTCGATCAGTTTTCATTAAAAGTATGGTATAAGAATTAAAAGTAATAAACTATATATAAACTAATAAGTAAATAAAGGACATACTTTGCTCGATGGGTGGGCCACTTTTGTACCTATATAAGAAGTTGGCTAGGTAGGATATAGAGAGAAATTTAATTTATATCTGTAAGCAATGATAAACCATTGAGAAACCATAAAGAAAAAAATGTTCCCGTTGTTCCCTGTTATTATTTAATTATTATGAAAACTGCTTAGAAAATCGAAAAATAACCTTCTTAAATACCAAGAAAATAAAATTTCATTTCAGAAAAAATGTTACACATCGGAGCAAGATTTCTAAAAAAAAAGTTGTGCACAGAAAAAAAAAACAGAAACAACAATGTAGCACCAATATATTCCTCGCTAGCTTCGAATCTAAAATTGAAAAAAATGTTGAAATAAATCTTAAACAATTCCATAATAATACAGAAATCCAATCGCCCTATAACCTTCATATATTATTAAATGGTACAATGCTATAAATTCGTACAGAATTAATACAGATGGATGAAGAATTACAAAACATTCTGTTAATAATGAATACAATTTATTTGTACGCAAGTCGTTTTATTATTATTATCTTTTATTCAACAAATATTTGTACAAAGTAATTTATAGTTAGTACGATTTTATTTTCAGATCTACCACTGGAAATTATGGCAAACCATGTAACAAGTAATACAATTTGTATTCATCAAATAAATTCATTATTTTATCAATTATAGTATGCATTCTAATTATTATTACAATAGGGATAACTAATTTGTAAATGTTATCGAAAAGTATTTCTGAGATTCGATATTTACATTATTCAATATGATGGTTTTAATATAATATGCAAATAATTGACCAAGTTACGTTTATAATTAATAATCTTTGATTATATTACTTATTCATAACATATAATACATATTTTAAACTTTTACAATTAATACGTAAAATAATAATGAATTAGCTCTAATCAAATAATGTAACCACATTTTTCCGTAGAAAATAAACAGAAAACTATTAGTAAGTTATTGTAATTAATTATTTTATTTTGTAAATATTTTAACGTAGTTAATATATTATACACAGTATCTTACAATGTTATCGAAACGTAATTTGTATAGAAAATAAATGTGAAAACATTTAATATTCAACAGAAGAAAGGAATTACCGTACTAATTGTGATTCCTTATCACGTAATGTGTTATTCTATTGAAAATTAATTGTTTACACACCAATTTTTTGGACCTAGACTTTAACGACTATAACTAAGAAATTATTGATCGAATATGTAAGTATGGTACATTAAAATGTTAAGAAGAATATGTTTTACAATTTGGTTATTTTAAAAATTTTATGAAGTGAAAAAAATAAGAAGTCATTTTTTTTCAGTGATTCAGGGTTTAAAATAATAATTTAATTTTTCTCTATATTTGTGTCTCCCTGGTACAAATCCCAATTGAAAAAAAAATATAAATATTAAAAAGTTATTCGGCTTTGGATAACACTGCAGGACACTCTGAATGTCATTACAATGAAAATATTTATGGTGCTAATCCTACGATCCTAGAGTTATATATTTTCTATGAACATTGCCAAAAGTGAACTTGTTTACGATAATATTTTATATTTATCATCTTTTAAGAAAAAAATGTATTAGACCTAAATCATATCATCTTTACATGTTTAGCTATCCCAATATATGATTCAAGAAGTAAGTATATATTAACAGTTTAGTTTTTTTTTTTTTAGATTCTGAGCATAGTCAATATTGTACATATTATATTTCAATTAATTGATTTGTTCATTTTCTATTACTATATGAAATATTAAAAATGTTTGCACAAGCAACGTTTATTGATTAAGATCGACTTCAAATAAAAATGCTGAGCTTGTTGTGAGTACGCGTGAGTGAAGTGAAATTTCTTTCGGTAGTATGAAATTGGTAGAATTTTAAGCTTTAAAAAACATTCAAAATCAGAAATCGAATTCTAGTAAAAATACATTTATTGTATTTTATATTTTTTATATAACAGATATTATCTATTACATTATAATAACTAAAATTCGGAATGTATGTTTGTGATACTGAAGAAATAAAAAAAAAAACATTCATGATGACAGTACCTGACTTAGTTGATTCGGAGTCTTTCGAAGCAAAATTAACATTTAAGAAGTCTTCAAGGAGAGTAAGTGGGGTCAGTGGCGTAGCTAGGATTTTCAGAAGGGGGGTGTTAATTATAAACATTAAATATTATATATAATACGTACAAACTAAAACTTTTATTTTAATTAATTAATTATGTATACATAATGTCTGTATGGTATTATCAATAGATAATAATGAAAAAAAAAAATATATTATAAAATAAAATCCGTTTGTCGTTTTTGATTGAATGACAATTTTTGTATTACTTCTTCTACTGTTACTTCGACTTCACGATGAATATTTAAAGATGCTAATCCATTAAGTCCAAACTAGCCAATAGAATTTCTAAGATTAGTTTTTATTCGTTTTAATGTAGAAAACCTTCTTTCAGGTTCACATGATGTGACAGGCAATGTTGCAAATATTTGTAGGAGTTTAAAAACATTTGGAAATAGGTCTTTATTGCAGTTATCAAGAGCGTCAAGAACACTTTTTATGCTTAGTTTTTCCAAATGTGTATGCCATAACTTTACCTCTGTTTCAATAACTTCTTGAACAATATCATCAGAATAAAACTCACTTAAATCTTTGATAGCTTGTTGATTATAATTTTTATTAGAAATGAGAAAATAAAAGCCAGCTATAATAGTTTTGTGGTTTATAAATCGGTCATTTAATTATTACACTAAATTGTCCAGAAATGGAAGGAATACACTTATTTTAAAATATTTTTCAGGATTATCTGTATGATAGTTTGATNTTTTCTTTGATCTTTCTGTTAATTCTTCAAAATACTTATGAAATTCTACATCACAATTACTTCTTATACTTTGGAGTTGAGAAATTATTATATCTACATGATTTAAAGCTTGAAATAAATCTATGTTTTGTTTTTGTAAATATGTGCAAAGATTTTTTGTATATTGAAATATTTTATAAATAATAATAAGACTTACATTGAATTCCGATGTTTGAATAGCTGAAAGTAACTGAGCTGCTTTTGATGATGTTTCAGTATTTGAATATAGTATCATTTCTTCAAAACAAGATATAATTACGGGTTGAAAATCATAAAATACATCTATTGAATTGTGTCTTTCAGTCCATCGAGTAGGACATAGTCTTTTTAATTTTTCTTTTTGACTTGAAAAAGAAGTATCTTCCTTAAATTTATTTAAATGTTTTGTAAACTCAAATTGTCCCTTTGGAGTATTGAGAAATGCATAAATGCTTTCTATTGTCCTCATAGCATTTCTGATACTGGGAACACTACAAGCATATGATATAGATAGGTTTAAGTTATGTGCACTACAATGAACATATATTGCACTATAATATGACTCCCTAATAAAAGCTTGAACGCCATTGAATTTGCCACTCATAGCTGCAGCCCCATCGTATCCTTGACCTCTAAGATATTTAAAATTCATTTTTAATTGTGTAAGTTCATCAATAATTGTTTGTGCTAAACTTCGGCCACTCAGGTCAGTAACAGGAACAAATTTTAAAAATGTCTCGTGGATTTTTTTATCTTCCAAATCATAATATCTAGCACAAAGAGAAAATTGTTCAGTTTCTGAAATATCAGATGTTTTGTCAGCCAATATAGAAAAATAACAATTTTTATTTATTTTATTTACTATTTTTGATAATATTATTTCAAAACAAGATTCTACTATTTCATTTTGAATTTGAGAACTGGTATATTGAACATTCCTACCACAGTTTTCTCTAGCCAATAAGTATGAATCGTTACCAGCATCAACAGTAACTTTGAGATATTGTTTTAGAAAAGTCCGGAAGTTTCCATCATCTTCAATTGGTTCTTCTAAATTTAATGGACCAAAATCCTTATGGCCCCGTAATGCAATTCCTTGTCGCTCACAGACAATGATAGTCTCAATAACTGGAATAATAATTTTACGGTTATTAGTTCTTTGTTTTTCTTTATTTATATCTAATTGAAGATTTATAGGCAAAGTTTTATCTGAAGCTATTGAATAATATGACTGATATTCAAGAATGCTTTGCTTGTGATAATTACTACTTTCATGCTTATTAAATTTATCATGCGCTTTTTTCCAAGCTTGAAAAGGTTTAAAACATAGCTGTCCAAGAGCTTGATTACATGAACCGGCTTCATTATTAGCATAAAACACACAATATTTACAGTAAGCACCATTATCAATACTACTATAAGCAAGCCATTTCCTTTTATATAGCCAAGAAAATTGAAATTTTAAATTAAGACAATTCTTACCAAATTTAGTTGCTGGAAATTCGAAATCAGGACCTGAAAGAATAAAATAATGAATAGGTAAATTAATATAGTACCTATAACTCCTGGATTTTAATTATTTAATCATGTATAATAAGTTAAAATAAATAATATATATATAAATTAAAATACATTTTAATTTACTTCAAAATTGATGATATACATTATATTCTTGAAATTACTTTAATTTATAAATTAAGATGTAAACAATAAAATTAATTTTGTATTTTATTATTATACATTGGTTTACACTTATCACTTACCTGGTGTCCAGATTTTTTTAAAATGATCAATTTTTTTGGCGTTCGTTTATTCACTTTTTCCAACAATATTATCTCTATACCCCATAGTGGGGTATAGAGATTATATAAGATAGCGGAGGCAAATAACGGTGTAATGGTACACTGACTCGTCACATCACGTTGTTTCACGTTAAGTTTAATTATAGAATTGATTATAGAATAAATTCTATAGTGAATAAATTTTATAATTAATGGTTATATGCATAATATTGGCACGATGAATACGAGTGTATCTGTATTATAAAACAGTTAAGTCGGAACCGTACAGTAAAGTTGAAACCAACATAGCCGAGTCGAGTTTCAAAAACAACCCGTTCTTAATAATATCATCACGTATGTAATTCTAATATCGCTTCTAAATTATCAATCACCCCACACCACTTGTTCTCCGCTTTGCCTGGTTTTTTCATAACAACCCTAAGAGATCAGGGTAACTCAGGTCAAATGTATTTATATTACTCTAATATTTTTTAATTATACTTGGAATAAATTATATCGTTGTTAAGTTATATTGAACGCAAATCTCTTTGACCTGTAAATATAACCTAGAAACCTTTATTTATATCAGTTTAACGGCTCGGCCCAATTGGCCAGATAGTAAAATAGGAATAGCCAATCAACTTCTCCGACTGGCGACAAGGATTAGGGTACATATTTTATATATTGACAGCTTCTTACATTCTATTTCGAAAACCAAGGAGGCGTTTTGAAAGTGGTGAAGGTGCCAGGAAAGTAAATTCCTAAAATTCATCAAAACGTACACAATAATTTTTCTAATTTTTATTCTAAAATAATAAGGAATTTATGTGCTTTTAATATATAATAAATAATAAATAATCATTAATCAGATTAATATAACATGCATTTACTATATAAATTGGCAGGTTTATTTTTTTTTTCTCAAAAATTAAAATTTAACAATAAAACGTGGTTTATTCGAAAATTAAATTGTCAACAAATTCGAGAACGATAACAGAAAACTTGGAAAATTATTTAGTAATGTATGAGTGAATATTACTAGTAAATGAGTGGGATGAGATTCAAAAACTAATGATGTTTCCCATGTATTTTAAAAGATCAGGCAAGTAATTTATCACATTGAAAACAGAACTGCGACTTTAACATGGCCACTATTAAAATAATTATTTTTAAATCGTTACAATTCAGAAGTGCAAATAGAAATACTCCGGAAGAAAATAAATTTGTTGACATAATTATTTTAAGGCTTTTTTTGATCTACATATTTGGATAAATCTGAATTTCTAGGTCCCCTTCACAACTTAACTACAAAATAAAAATCAAACCGAGACATACAACGAAATAAATTTCGTTCTACGTTATTTATTTTGAAACATTAAAAAATATTTGAATTTTAGATTATTTTGATTTCATAAGTTATACATTTTTTATGTTTAATGTTATTTAAAATTAAATCATACTTCCGTTACTTTTTCCCTTTTTATTACCTTTTTTGTTTTGTATTATTTGAATAATAATTTGCTTACATTATACAATGTATAGGAACATAGTACCTACACACTTTATGAGCGTTAAAATACAAATCGAGCACCCGCTTATATTATAATTTAATCGTAAACAGCAGACTGAAACAAATGAAAATGAAAAAATAAAGTTAAGATGTGTAATTTACTATAAATTAGATTAGATGGGGTTAACAACGAAATTATTAAATAGCTTAATTAAATGAAATGTCATTGTATTTTAAACCAATATAAGTATAAAATGTAACTATATATAATATTATACAGAGTGTCCCATGAATATATACCCATTGCAATACCTTTTAAGATAATACAAATAATCAATTTAAGGCCTACAAATATTTATATTTGAATTGAATTTTTATCTTTGATAAAAAAACTAAAAAAATTACTTTTTATTTTATTATTTTTCAAACAATTGAAGATAACCATTTTATATAGTTTATTCTTCTGAAAATTGTTACCTTTCACTTTTTATTTTCATTAAATTTGTGTTTTTTAATAATTGCTTTAAAATTCAGAGAAAAATACCTATAATCATGCAGCCGGCTGTAATCGCATTCGCTTTTTAATTATTATTATGGTTAATTGACTGTCACTGCACTTTGAAAAATTATGAATTTAATGAAAATAGTTGATACGTCAACATTTTCAGAAGAATAAACTTTATAAAATGGTTATCTTCAAATTTTTCAAAAATAATAAAATTTAAAATATTTTTTTTAAGTTTTTTACCACAAAATAAAAAATGCATTCAAATATATATATTTATAGTCCTAATCTCTATTAATAATTTAAAAGAAAATTTGATTATCTCTATTGTCTCTGGAAATATTGTAATGAGTATCAATCGGACACTCTGTATACCAATACATTGTATTTTCAGTTGCACCTGTAAGATCTACTAAAAGTTCAGTATTTGGGTCCATAGCAAGCGTAAGTATTGATTTTATTATGCGTGTTTTTATTTTTTGAGCATAGCGACTTATATCTTTTTTTAAATATATAAATAAATGCGTCGCCTGGAGTATTATGAAATGCATATTGTACGACCAGTTTCGGATTAAAAATTAAAAACCGGTCATACAATACACATTTCATAATACTCTAGGCGACGCGTATATTTATTTATATACTTATTTACAAGTATTAACCATTTAATAAATTTGTTCTGCTTTATTATTTTAGTATCTTTTTTTTGTGTTTATGAACAAATTTTCTACCTGCAGAAATCTTGCTCTAGTAAAAACTACAAGAGAACTCTTTAGTAGAATTTTGGATCATTTGATGCATTTAGAAAGTAATTTTGCATTTTTCGTGTAATTTTCTTAATAATTTGTAACTAAACAGTTATCAACGGTAACTAGTTTTGATTTCAGTTTTTTTTTTTTTTAGTTTGATTAAAAATAATCGTAGAGACCTGCAATTTTTACCGATACTTATATTAGCCTTTTTCAGACGTATTATATTCTAAACCTTTTATTTTTTAGGAATACTCTAGACATATACACTCATTAATATTCAAAAATTATATTATTTGAGAAATTCGTTATCTAATGAAGCGTGTATAGATTCATAAAAAAATTAGGAACTTTGTTATAAAATTACAAAGTGGCTAGATATATAACTATATATTAGCAAATTGATATACCAATCTCCGAATAGCGATTTAATCTCATATAAAATTGATTTAAGATCTGAAACCAAACTACTCGTTTTTGGTCACTAACATCCGTAACAAATAAGCACTAAAAGAAGATGTAATAAAATTGTTTGGCCAAATATAAATGCTAAAAATTGAATACGAGATTCTTTGTAAGTTTATCTTAGCGGTCAAAAAAAAAGAATACAATTATCATCTTGGGACGGTAGACAGAAGTGAAAATATCTACTAATAAATACTGATTATTGGTTTAAATTAAACTTAAAAATGGCAAACTTAACTGAACCGGTGTATGATAAATAAGCATAATTAATTTTTTATAAAATCAGTTCTTTATTCATTTTTATATGTTACACTACCTCGACAGTTGAATTATTTTCATCATTATTATCATCTTTAATAATTGTTATTATCGACTTATAATAACTAAAATATGATACAAATATATAGGATTTAGTATTATTAATATATCTTAAAAATGTAGCATCTATTGTTGTTGCAATGTACACGCATTGCATAGGTATAATATATATATATACAAGCCGTATTTAAAGGATGGGCAATGCGAACATTTTCCCCGGGTGGCCAAATTTTGATATTTTTAACGGGGCGGCTACTCATCGCCTCTTAAACATATTATATTGTAGTTTAATACTAAAATTTTAATTTAAATTAAATTATAAACCAACAAATTTATTGACTACTTTTTCCACTTAAAATTTTAGACATGTTGAGTATTTATATTAATAAATAATGAGTCGTAATTTTCATTTAACTATTTAAGTAATAAATCGTTTTTAATATTGATAAAATGATAACAAGCTTTATTGCGGCAGACAAAATGTACAAAATGAACTAATTATAGTTCATATAATTATTCAAGAAGTTGAAAAAGCCAGATATTTTACTTCTAAATAAATTAATTTATTGCACGCCAGATATTTCACAAATTCACTAACTCTCATTCATCATTTACTATATACATAAACAAGGAGAATCCATTGAACGTTTCATGTACTTTATTGATTAAATTGGATATAAGACACAGAAAATGACTAAAGCCGTTATTTTGAAGTTCAAAATATTTATATTTAATATATAATTTTTTCTGCTGAAAACTTTTATACCATCAATTTTGCTCCGACTTATAACGATAGCTATTTTTCTAAAAACAAATTTCTGAGAAACTGGGAATACCGGGAAAATCGGTACAACATTAAACAAATATTATTAAAGAAAATATATAATGGCAATTTAATATTTAATTATTCTACCGTAATATTATGACATGTATATATTGTTGACATAGCATCACTATCAACTGAACTCCGCTCAGAATCATCTTTTCGTTAGCAATGCTTTATCATTACTTACAGGTATACATTAAATTATCTATAACAGTGGCTGCACCCGTCTCCATTATCCTAGGACAGTTTTTTTTCGACATTAATCACAAATTTAAAAATCATTTTAATCTTCCTTATTATATTTTTATGTTTCAAGTTTAATTCATATTGTATTCAATTTCTACTTCCATATTTCACAGATATTTGTGTTTTATTAAAAATTTGAAAAAACTGTCCATTTTAAACAATATTTAATCAAATAACCTTTCAGTTAATGATACTATACATTTGTCAATCCTTAATATATTTATAGCATCTTACTTCTTAGTTAATTTGCAACCATCTGCAGTATTTTTGGTTGATTTAGTTTTCATTACGTAAGTATGTTTACTTTTAAAATTATGTTTACATTTGTAAGCTAATAAACTAAGTTGTTGAAAAAAAAAAAAACAAAAAATGAAATCATCGTATTTTATTAATATTGTATGTATATTTATTAAAAAGTACCTTTTCTGTCAGATTTATTTTCAGAAAAAGTGCTATCATTGTAAATCACAGCTAAATTGTTTGTAGAAACGTTGCTGACAGATAAACAAAAAATGAACATCTTTGTAAAACCATAAGCTTTTCACTTCATGTAAAATCTAAAAAGAGTACAAAAATAAAGTTTCAGTTGTAAAACCTATATTTTCATCTGAATCGAACTCTCGCTGTAAAGTTGATCTGCAAGATCTGTTGATATGCAAGCCCAACCTGATGGCAATTAAAAGTTTATTGGTTTATCAATATCACCTTACAAAGTTTATAATTCTTAGACCGTTAACTCATAAACATTTACAATATTTAGAGCCCGGAAATTTTGCAAAGCGATAATAGAAGGGAATTCGCAAATAAAGTTATTGTTGTGTTGCCCAGTTTGTGATAATAAATTTAAAAATAATAAAATACTATAGACCTAACATTACATTTTTATTATAATTAATTCAAATAAAACTGTTAAAATAACTAAAATTGAATAGTAATTAATAATAATTTTCTTCATGTCAAACCTTTAGATAACAATATCAATCTATAATAGTAGGTACCTAAAAATGGTTCAATGGATAATAGATTTAAAAACTTTTTATAGTTAACTAATAGTTGATTATTCGTCTATTGCGATTTTTTTATGTTTATTAAATTACCTAGTAAGATGTTTTATTTAATTTTTAACACTTTCAATATTTAATTTAAAATGTCCAAATCTAATTGGGCACTTTATACAATACCGGGTCAATATAAACTTATTCCAATATTACTCTCGAACATTGAACATTTCCTAACTTCCTACTTTGCCTTTAACATATTATATACATTTATTTTATTTATAATTCAAAATTTACTAGATTTGGTCGACGAAAATTGTTTACCGGTATATTTCACACCTCTGCTTATGCCCCTAATTTTTTTATACGCAATACAAATTATAATAATAAGGTAAATATTCCAAAACGTCACTAGTCAAACAACAGTATCCAAAGGGCGTATCATATTGTTTTATATTTGGCAAATCTATAATCACTGACAATACGACAATAATAAAATATATTATTTACAGACGGCATTTACTTTAGTTAAAACAGTAATGAAGAAGAAGTAACAATTTTGTTATATAATGCTCGTAATAGAGTCAAGAGAGGAAAATGTCTGTCAATCAATCTTTGAGATGCAAACAAAATAAAATAATACAATAACAAATAATTTATATTAAATAATATTCTATACTAAATTTTATCAATAAATATAATATGTTGTATAAAATGATTATTCCTTTGAAGTTTGAATTTAATTATCATAATTTAGGCTCGGAACTTATTGCACTTAAAATCTACAAAAACCCTCTTAAAAACATTAAAAAAATACTTGAAATATATTTAAAAAAGCAAAAACGATAGAAGTGTTTAAATATTCCCCTCTAATGACGTTAACTTATTAAATACAATTGTCTAACGTTACACAAATTATTAATCCGAAGTTATTTTTTTTTTTTTTTTTTATGATACGTATAATTTTATTTAAACAAAAATAACTTTTTGTTAATCATTTGTGTTGCGTTGAAAAATTCTATTTAATAATTTAAAATCATTATACAAGGGACCTTTAAACCTTTAAATCGTTAACCATTTTGGTTTAATATTATTTACTTAAAATAATTGTTTTCAAGGCTTTTATGGCGTTTTTAAATGTTTTATTTTTGTGAATTTTAAGAGCAATAAGTCCCAAGCCCTAATCATAACTTATATAAATATATAATAAACTCGCAAGATAATTGTGTAAAATAAATTATTATTATCACTATTATTTTTGTTAGATTTTAAAAAAAAGTGAAAAATATTTTAGTTTTACTATAATGTGTGTTTTTTCTGTCTATAAACAACTTTTCTACCCAAAATTTCCATCTAATCATCAACTTTAAGGGTGTTTTTGGGAAGCAAATATTTTTCCAATTTTTTTTTTTTAAATATTATTTTAAACCTCCAATCCAAAAATATTAAAGAAAATATACCAAGTAATCCATTTTTTCAACCGCTTAACAAAAATCAAAAATTTCAACACTGAAATTTATTTTAATTAATACTCCATCTATTTATGGAATTTTTAATATAGATTGCCATTTGAACATCAAAAGTATGTAGTGGTTTTACCCCCAAAAATAAAGGTAACAAAAAATAACATAAATATACAATTTTAGAGCAGCTTGTTTCTTAAATTTTTTAAAGAACAAGTTCTGGAAAAAGTTAATATTTCCCTAGACAATGAATGTACCCACTTAAATGGATCACCTGATATATTTTCTTTAATAATATTTTCCTGTTTTTACCCATATTTTTGCCCGGTTTTTCACATTTGCTGGAAAATGTTTGGGAAAATCCAAAAATTACGTTCTTAAAGCACCTTCCCAATTAGATTACCTTTCCACAAAAGTTTTATCATTGTAAATCGGAGAAAAATTTCTAGTAGAAAAGTTGTTCGCAGAAAAAAAAGGCTGTACAATTTTTTAACTAATAGCTACATTTCATACATTTTTCCTCTTTTTTTTCGGTTTTTCACATTTGATGAGAAAACTCCTAAGAAAATAGAAAAATGACCTCTCTAAAGTACAACACCAAGAAAATTTCCTTTCAGAAAAGTGTCTACATCGTATTCATCGGAATATGCTAACTAGTGTAAAAATTGTTCACATAAAAAAAAATTAAAATATCATCTCTATAAAACCAATTAATTCTTCATTTTTCTATACTCAAAACCTAAACTAATTTTTAAATTTGAGAAAATTTGAAAATCTGGCCTCTTAAGATAATATTTATAACTACAGGCATTTAAGTCAGTGGCGTCATTTGCAAGAATATAACAATTCATTTCTTGGATTTCTTTCAAAACATTTAAAATATATAGATACAGATACTATTATAGAATATTCAAAATAATACAATATTTTTGTAACAAATTTTACAAAAATATTTTTTGAGATTTTATCCCAATAATTTATTAGGTATTATCAAATTGATAAATATGTAACTGAAGTTTACTTTATAGATTAGCACCGATTTCGTTATTGCCCATTTTAGATTCCGAGCGTAACGAGCAAACTATTGGTTTTACAATACTGTTTTTTTCATTTTTTTTTGTTTTCTTCCAGCCTTTCTAAAAACTTTCGATACTAATTTATACAAATATTATAAAGATCGAAAACCCAAAGTTTGGATTTAATATAACATGCTGGACAATGTACGAATTTAATAAATTTAACAAACTATGTAGTTTTTTTAAACATATTAATATACTAAAATATTAAAGTTTGGTGAGTATAAATTAAAATGTGCAATTAATTTTGTACAAAAAATCGAAACTGTAAAATTATAATAGAATATAGGAGAAAGTTGTCAGAGAAAAATTCGTTTGATTATTCTATGATAAAATATAGCCACTAAATAGGCAACAATATAATAAGTAGGTATTATAAATTCATAGTCCATTAATTACTTTCATAAATATATAAATCCAAAAATCATTTTCTCAAACCCTAGAGTTTTTAGATTCCGAGCGTAGCGAGAGAGCTATTGGTTTTACAATTCTGTTTATTTTATTTTTCTTTGTTCTTTGTTCTAGTCTGTGGATACGTTTTTTCCTAGTAAACTTGTTCCAATTTTTACGTGTAGCACCTTTTCTGAAAGCTCAAGTTGTCTAAGTTGTACTTTAAAAATTGTACTTTTTAATAAGAATTTTGAAATCAAATTTAAACAAAAGTCTCAAAAAAATTATGGCACTTCAAATTATGTATTAGGCCGCGTGCACATTGGAAAGCGTTGCACGGTGAGCGGTGGGCGATGAGCGACGAGCGTTGAGCGGTGAGCGATGTAGTGTGTACACTAAACAGCACGCGATCAGCGTTGTCTATATTATTTTAGTCGCCTGCAATCATCACCGTGTTACTGTGCTCAAGAATTCGACGTATTTTACTTACCGATAATACATTTTTACGAAATCGCTTTCGAAGTAAAAAACATAGAAGGATTGGAGTTCACGAAATGAACAAAAAAAGTAACGAATTCGGCGAGTTTCATCATATTTATAATGAACTAAGAAGAGATAGTGAAAGGTTTTTTAATTTTTTACGTATGTCAAGAAAGACTTTTGAATTTATTTTGTCCAAAGTAAAATTTAAATTAACCAAAAAACAACAAATTTTAAAAAAACAATTTCTGCAACCGAAAGACTTTATGTAACACCTAGGTAAGTCATAACTCATAATTTATTACAAATGAATGTTTTATTACATTGATAACAATATTGTTTTACAATACTTTTTTCTCAAACATGGAAATAGAAATTAAAACAATGGAAATTAAAATAACTGAGGTATAAAAATTAAATAAAAAAAAAATTTCACAATTTCTTCGGTATCTACCTAGTGAAAAAAAATGTCCTATTATAACTTAAGCATACGCCTTAAAAATAAATAATACAATTGATTATTTTAGCTTTATTAAATTAATTGTAAATATTTTGAGTATAAATATTTGGAGTAGTTAAATCCTGCCTCGTGTTTTGTGGAAATTGGTGATAAGTTTCTTTCTGAGACGAAGTCGTTTGTGGTGGAATGTACATCATTGCCCTTTCTTTTTCGATTTCTTTTTGTTTTAATGTTTGAAAAATGACATTTTGCATATTTGTTCGTAGTTGTAATTTTTCTAAAGCATCAAATTTCTCAAAATAAGGCAATAGACTCATTAAATAGTGGTAATCAGGATTATTCGTCATAGTTGAGTCCCTTTTTTGCTCTTCCCTAATAAAATCTAATTTTTGTTGCTCGATTTGCAAAAAAGGATCATAGTCTATATCTTCAACACGCCGTTTCTTACACTTTTTTTTCTGAGTGGGTGTTGGAAATTCATTTGATGAAACAGACGCAGGTGTTTCTGGAAGAAGCCCATCAGTACTACTTTCTTCATAATTTCAAATCAAGCCAGTCAGTTATTGAGTTATTAAAAGTTGTATTTAGTAGGTTTGGAATTCCCAAACAAGTAGTTGCTGATAATAATCCTTGTGGCTCACAAGAGTTTATAACATTTGCCACACAGTGGCAATTTGAGGTAATATTGTCTAGCCCATACTATGCAAAAAGTAATGGCTTGGCAGAGAAAGCAGTAGGGATAACGAAAGGGATGATTAACAAAACTAGATATGAGAAAAAAGATCTCAATTTATTTTTACTCAATTAGAAGTAAAGAATATAGAAATAGTCCGGTGGCAGGTTTGGAATACTCGCCTGCACAATTGTTAATGGCAAGGGAACTAAGAACACTTACCAATTTTTTAAATCCAAACATTTTTAAGAACTAGTAATTAGTATTTGTATTGTTTAGTTAATAAGCATCATATTTAAGTATTGTAATTTGTAAGCAAATAACATATTGTGTACCTATATTTATTAAGTTTCTATATATTGTATTCCTAAAGAAGAAGATGTAATGATAAGATTATGATAAGATGATCATAAGATTGTGATAAGCACGAGACATCACATAAGTTATTAAATATATTATGTTAATATATAAGATATTACACATATTATGTTATTATATAAGTTATTAAATATGTTATATAATGTGTCACATCATCTTAAAAGATGATTAAATATAAAACAGGCTGTATTAAAACCAGACAGCCGTGTACAAACTACAAGCAAGATTTAATAGTGCTTTAATGCTCTAATAGTTCTACTAATCGTAACAGAACGTCTGTGTAACACACGGTCTTTCAATATTTAAATAATACATAATATTAAAATATAGGTAGGTAGGTAACACTTACATATTTAAATAACTATCGTATTGTTATCATTTATCACCTATTCTTATTGTTTTATTTTTTCGTCAAAATTTGAAGTTTTAAATGCAAAAAACTACTACATAATGCTAAAAAAAAATTCCTCAATATACACCAACATTTAAATGCTAATACTTAACTCATTTTTTATGTTCTTAAAAAATACTTTCTGATAAATACAAGTAAATTGATATTATGTTACAATCAATTTGATACTATAATCATATTTTATCAGTTATTATTGATATTTCATATCATTTAGGAAAGTTACCAAAATATTAAAGTTAAGTTTTCATGTGAATTCATATTTGTTTTTATTTATATTGAATTTGTATGTTAGCACTAAGCCTATTATTCAAGTAGATCATCCAACTATTAAAATGCTACGGAATGGTTTAATCCATATCGTTTAACCATGTTTATCATAAACATTAAACGCTTAAGTCGTTTATCGTCAATTCATTTGTTCGCTTCAATTAAAAATTACTGTCGCCATTCACAACAATATGATGTGATTATTGTAGGTGGTGGACATGCTGGATCTGAAGCATGTTCCGCAGCGTCTAGAATGGGAGCCTCTACTTTGTTGGTAACACACAACAAGACATCTGTTGGTATGATTAAAAATAATAATATGTTAAATTATAATATATTTATATTATTATTATTATTTCACAAATCCTTGTAATTTAGGGGAATTATCGTGCAACCCATCATTTGGTGGTATCGGCAAAGGACATCTGATGAGAGAAATTGATGCATTGGATGGATTGTGTGCTAAAATCTGTGATCTTTCTGGCATCCATTACAAAGTAATATATTTGTTCAATGTGAATACAATTTTAAAATTATTCTATATAATAAATTATCTATAGGTTTTAAATCGTAGTAAAGGACCAGCTGTATGGGGTCTACGAGCACAAATAGACAGAAAATTATACAAGAAACATATTCAATCCGAACTTTTTGAAAATACTCCTAATCTTAATGTTATTGAAGGTTCTGTAGAAGACATTTTACTAGACGATAATAACCAGTGCACAGGAGTTAAGTTAGGTATTAAAATATATAATACAATAATAAATTGAAAACAAAATTATTAAATGCTCAATACTCGTAAAATATATATAATCAAATAATTTATATGTAGAAATAAAAAAATAAATAAATGAATGTGTCACCTGGAGTATTATATATGATATTACAGTAATAATAATAATATATGCTCTGCGATTTACCTGATGATGAATTTTTAATTTGAAACCAGTCATACAATACACATCATTATACTCCTGGCGACTCATTCATTTATTTATTTTTTTATTTCTACATATAAATTATTTATTTATTTATTTATTTATTTTATTAGAAAATGGAACACTATTACAAACTAAATGTGTTGTATTGACTACTGGGACTTTTTTAAATGGTGAAATGTATAGTGGAATGACTGTCAAGTCAGGTGGTAGAATTAATTCTAAATCTTCTGTTGGGTTAGCTAATACTTTGAAAAGATTGAGATTTAAAACAGGTAGAATGAAAACAGGAACTCCACCTCGAATCAGAAAGCAATCGATTAATTTTAAAAATTTATCTTGGCAGCTTGGTGATGATACACCAACACCATTTTCATTTATGAGTGATTCTGTTTGGCTAAAAGTAAATAATTTATATTATATTTATATTCATATAAAATATATAGGTACTTGCTGCTAACTTTTATTTTATTATTTTGTACAGCCCGAAGACCAAATAAAAACTTATATTACATTTACTAATAGTAAAGTTCACCAAATTGTAATTGATAATTTAAGTGTAAATCGACATATTAAGGAAGAAGTAAAAGGTCCCAGATATTGTCCATCCCTTGAATCTAAATCTCTTAAGTATGTAAGTCTTTTAATTTTATAATCTTTACTACATAGTTAATACTAATTACTAGGGCAGAGAACTTGTAGCATTTGCATATTTGTTTTGCACAGTCACAAAAATAGCAGAGTACAAAACAAATACGTTTCATGCTTTAAAAAAGCTAGTTTTGAAATTTTATTTTGCATATAAATGAATATTTTGAGTCCTTTTTGTTTNTTTTATCTGTCATTTTATATTTTTTGAGACATATTTAACTTACATCAATATTTGCCACACCGATGTTTTAATTTCAAACAATCAGTCAAAATGTTTGGATAAAAATGTATTTATTTTTAATTTTTGTCGTGTAATATGATTTTGTATGTCCACGGGCACACTTTTTTCCTAGAAGCGCTTGACGATTGGCGATAAAGCAATAATATTAATTTGCTGGAATTATTTTTATCTAGGTAGATAGTTGTTTACAATTATTTACGTATACATTTATTTGATTAGGATTTTTATTTATAAAACGTTTCTAGAAACGACAATAATCAATATTTTAATATTTAGTCTCAGTCAGTTCTGCGGAATGTACATTCGTATTAATTGTGTCGTCTTATTAGCCGTATTATAAATTAATTGAACATTTTTATTTGATATTTGATATTTGTAATAAAATGCCGAAAGATAAACAGCCTTTAAGTAGTCGGTTAAAATGTTTTATGTCTGAGTTTGGTGCCTGTACGTTTTCGACCAACGGTAAAGTCCTGTACTGTAAATATTGTGACGTTAAAGTAGGGAGTGAAAAATTTTAGGTGCATATTTTAAATGCATATTATGGGGTTTTTAAGTGCATAAGTGCTTGCATATTTATTGCTTTTTTAGAGCTACAAGTCCTCTGCCCTACTAATTACTTATAGTTTTGATTTAAATAATTTTTTAGGTTCCGAGACAGAAATCACCAAATATGGCTTGAAGAAGAAAGCTTCGATAGTGATGTAATTTATCCAAATGGTCTCTCGTGTACACTACCCGAAGAACTGCAAGTAAAAATGATCAGATGCATAAATGGACTAGAAAACGCCAACATTATCCAGTTTGGTAAGATAAATTATATTAAATTCAAATATATTTTACTAATAAAGTGTGTTCAGGTTACGGAGTAGAATACGATTATGTAGATCCACGAGAACTGTATCCCACATTAGAAACCAAAAAGATTAGTGGATTGTTTTTTGCTGGACAAATAAATGGCACAACTGGATATGAAGAAGCAGCTGCACAAGGCATATTGGCTGGAATAAATGCTGGTGCTAAAGTGAATTTATTGAAACATTTTGTCATTAAAGCAATTAAAATAATATTGATTTCTATAGGCTTTACACAAATGTAGTTTTACATTAAGTAGAACCGAAGCATATATTGGTGTTCTTGTTGATGATTTGACTACACAAGGCACGGATGAACCCTATCGTATGTTTACCGGTAGAGCTGAGTTTCGTCTGCATTTAAGACCTGATAATGCAGACATCAGACTGACACAAAAAGGTTTCTTTCTATAGATGATAATGATTAGTAGAATTTTAAAAACAAAAATTGTTTTGTAGATTAAAACTAAAAAAAATAAGTATTAAAATAGTATATATCTTAGATAATATACAATGAATGGGACCACAGATCAATATTTTGATGTACATATTAGCCAGGTGAGTAGCCTTTAATGTGCATGCGTGACAATAAATTGCATACTTATTCCAATGCCTGAATATGATGTAATAAATATTAAATAACTGATGAGATAAGTGATAATAATATACATTTTAATGAATTAAAACATGAATTTATTGAATTGGTAATAAGCTGATATCTGTATAAAGTACTTATAATAGATTAAAAGTACTTTATAAGCGACTTATAAGTCGCCATTGGGTATGCGCACTAGCGCACTAAAAGCTACTCGTGACGACTCATTGCTAATATGTACATCATCGATATTATATGTTATCTATGGGCTGTAGCTCTATCCATTGTATATGATCATAGAGTTTATATATTTTACATTTATTTTATTGATAGCAATCTTTGGAAAATATAATAATTTTGTACAGGTTATGCCATTGGTTGTGTTAGTAAAAAACGTTATGATCAAACATTGAGTATACAAACTGATTTGGACAAAAGCATTAGACTATTAAATTCAATTTCCAATACCATGTATAAATGGAAGAAATCATTAGGCTTAAAAACTAGTCGAAATCCTGAATACAAAACGTTTGTAAATAATATTATTACCTACACCCTTCAAACATATTTTTATTGAGAAGTGTTTTATAAACAATTAACAGGGCCTTTGAAATATTGGGCTTACCCACAGATGGTATCACTATACAACAGTTGGAAATGATATATCCTGATCAATTTGGTGGAAAGTTTACTGATAGTAAACTTAATGCACGCCTTAAAATTGAAGCTTTATATCAATCATCAGTTTGTGATCAAAAGGACGATATAGAGCGTGTTGAACTTGATCAATTTTTATTCATACCGGCAGACATTGAATACACACAGTAATACATCAGTATTTAATTTTTATCAATTGTATATTTTAGTGTTTATTTTTATTTGCAGTTCATCTCTAAGTCTTTCAAAAGAAGAAATTGAAAAGTTAACCTACATTCGACCACAAACTGTAAACAATAAAAGAAATTAATCAATTTAATATATCATAAATGTATAAACTTTATTTTTAGATTGGAGCTGCTAGCCGAATATCTGGAATTAAACCTAGCACAGTTTTGAGACTGTTGTATTATATTAAAAGTAAAAATCAACATAAAAATATAGCAATTAATAAAATATAAGTAAGTAAGTACATAAATTGAAATTATTTTTTTTTTTTTAAATTTAATTTCTAAAATCATTTATTTAATTTATAATTATCTTTTATACGTTCTATATTGTTTTTAAATGTTCAATTGATTTACATAATATCTAAACAGTTTTAATAAGAATTTACAATGACTAATAATTATTATTGTTTATCAATCAACAGATTAACAAAAGCCTATACAAATTATTTTTCACCTGCCACACAAGTTTACAAAATATACCACCAATCACAAAGATTACTTGACATTCATCCAACCTTATCAAATCAAAAGTACTACTAGTCAAATAGCCTAAATCCTGTATGCAATTCAGAATAAAAAAAATGTACTAATTTTACGGACTGAGAACTAATTTGGTTATAATAAAATATTATTAAAACATTTAAATATTACCTTTTAACCTTCATTTAACTTAAAACTACCACACAAAAAAACCATTGTAACTGCTAAGCTTCTTATAACAGAAAATTTGGATTTATTTTGAAGTTAGAAAGAACATGAATAAACTACCTGTATATATTCTAATAATAAATAGTATTTTGGTTTTGTCTTATAATTAATTTTTTGTTTTTCAAATATTACCATATGAATGTTATATAATATTTTTTTTGCTATTCAAAGAAAAATTTAAACTTATTAAACTTGTTCTGTGACTTGTTATATGATAAAGTCAAAAAAAAAAAAAAAACAATAAAATAAAATACATAAATTAATCAAATTTTCAAAATGATCTGATCAATTTAGTGACCAAGTAATACATTAACTACAAGTTTAAAATTTCTTAATTGTACTACTTTTTACTACTACTAAATTTGTATAATAAAACTTATTTGTACCTTCATATACCTATCTATCGTATATATATAAAAGTAAAAGTAAATTTAACAAAATATTTATATTGTTTTATAGTATAATAAAAAAAATAATATATTTATTTATAAATATTGTTTACAATATAAATTTAAAAGAACTAATGGAAATGTGTGTATTTAAAAAATAATATTTTAAGAAAGACTAACATGGAATTGTAATAAATGAATCCATATAAATATATATATATATCTAAATAGTAAATTGTAAACCAATTTTCTCATAAGAAAAATTGAACATTTTAGAATCAGAGGGTAGCGAGGAATGTATTGGTTTTACAATGATGTTTTTTTTTATGTATTATGTACAAAATGTCTACTAAAAATTTTGCTCTTATGTATCAAGAGTACCATTTTTTCTGAAAGGAAATTTTATCTGGTTTAAACTTCAGAGAAGTAATTTTTTGATTTTCCAAGTGGTTTTCATAATAATTAGGAAAAAGTGGAAAACAATGTAAAAGTAAACTGAGAAATAATTACAATGTTACGATTTCATGATTTAACATTTTTGTAACCTGTGTTTTCTATCAAAAATATTACTCCAATAAAAAAACCACTAGAGATCATTATTGTTTTCATTTTTAATATAGTTAATGATTAATAGTATTTTCAACATGACTGCATATTCTTATCATAAGTAATATTAGGGTACATTTATTGTGGATTTTTAAGTTTCACATGCGTGCACTCTACCAGTTTCTTGATCTAAGTACATTGATTATTGCCAAAGCTCCTCAAGCTCTTGAATGTACAATTTGTAATTATTATAATTTGAATTTATAATACATGAAATAATATATTATATGCCTACTATTATTATTACATATTTTTTTTAGTATTATAATTAACTATAAAGACTTGAAAGATATAAATCATTATCAAAAAGAAAATAATTAATAATTTAAAAAATTATGTTCCGCATGATTCATAATTCGACTAGGCATGGCAATAAAACATAGATATTTTTGAAATATCGATGTTTAAAGCTAAAATAACATGTTTTGGCATCGATTAGTCTAGTTTCGATATTTTGCATCAATGTTAAATCTTTACCGATGTTTTAATTTCAACGTTGGTCATATCTTCGATGTAGGTAATTTAGATGTTACTTGTCTTTGATGTTCACGTGTATTCTTACATAAAATTGGACAAATAATGATTCCTGGAGACTGAATAATATTCGCGACTAATCAATTTTTCGAGCAATATCAGTTACCCGCTCTAGGTACAATAGTATATATATATATATGGAACACTATAATTCGCTGAAAGTCGTTTTTTTGATTTTCCGTGTAGTTCTTTTAATAATTGAGCAAATGAACTGGAAAATTTACGAAAATAATAGTTTATTATTAGATAAAATTATTTTCGTAACTGCCTAGTGCCTAGAGTATTAAACTAAGACGTCTACTTACCGACTTATTATATCTACATAATATTTAATTCTGTATAAATTTATTATTGAGTGCATTATATTTACATAAAATTATTATTTAAAATTACGTTTTTTTTTGTTCTAATTCAGTTAAAAAATATTCATAGGAACTTGAAATTTGGTAAGAAAAAATTGTTTTTGCCTTTCCTAGACGTGATCAAATTTTCAAAACTTTTGAGCTATTTATATTAAAATCTTAATTTTGTGAGTTTTTTACGTAATTTTTATTTGATAGGTACTATGTGGATACAATTTTAGACCAAACAGAAATGCTTGAAAATTGAACAGATGGTTCATAATAAGTCGTATGTTGTAGTAAAAAAAAAATAAAAATCATTGCTTTAATAAAAATTATATCTAACTATTAAATGCCAAATAACTACACGTTTGAAATACATTGGTATTTAGTTTTAACTAAAAGAATACAACCATGTTCATAAAGCATAATATCTGCATACATTGTTGTATACCGACTTATCCAAAAATGTAGTTAGGTGCCTAGTATACATGGAACGTAGGCATATTATACAATTTATGAACCTATGGTTTATAAAAATTTGGCCTAGTTTCGATATAATAAGCGATTCGGCATCGCTTTATAAGTTGCGGTTTTAAATTTAAATATTTAATTAAGTGGATAAATATTTTTGGCAGCAATTGAATATCATATTATACGTAGGTAGGTATTTTAAATGCATAACCTCGGGATAGCATACACACTACTAATTTAGCGAACCGGGCCCCGAGGTTTTACTGGAGTGCAATCGCCAATGATAATATTTTTTTTAACTTAAATAAATACAAATATTTTACTTTAAAGTCATAAACATAAAAATACAACATAAAAAAACATCCTAATGAATTATTATTAATTTTACCAAAAAATGTACTATTATGGTGGTCCTTGGACAGCCTAAATAGGAGAAGATAAATCTAGGTATTTATGATTCAGGACACCCCATTTTTTTAATTTCTGTGTAAAAGTAGGATATCTATGTAAAATTTGGTAATGATAAAATGTCTCCTTCCCGTGCCGTAAAAGGACAAATTATAAAAGATAGTTGGTAGTTTTATTGTTTTTTTTTTTTATTTAGGTAATTCATCGTATTTAACATCAATTATAAAATGATATATACTTTTTTGGTAGTTTTTTTTAATGTCTATAAAATATATTATTACATAATTTACTATACAAATTGTTTTTTTTTTTTAAAAAAAAAATATTAAAATACAAAATATGTTTCATAATTTTATATATTTAACAAAATTGATTTGTGTACGGTTATATTTGTCAATTGGTTGAAGATATGAAAAAATGATTAAGAATTTAATTTCATGAAAAACTTAATCAGATCAATTATTAAAAATGTTACACTTGGGATTTAAATAAAAAAAATTAATTAGTTGGTTTTTTTTAACTCACTTAAATTTGTATTTTTATGTATCAAAATGAAATTATTCATTATTTGATTCGAGTATACCGAGTAGTTTTTTCTGTATTTTTCTATGACCTAAATAAATGAAAAACAATAAATTATTTATTTAGGTACCTACTGTAAAACAATTGTTTGGCTAACCTGCAATACAAATTGCTTTTGGTTTTTATTTTTGGAGACCCTATAATTATAATTTTTATGAGTTTTACAATATCGTTTATTATAATTAAATATGCAATATGTCAATCACGTTATTTCCAGTTCGGAAAAAGGTAATTTCCTTCCATTTGATTGTACCCATTTCTAGTGTTTATTTCAGACTTTCTACCATAGAAAGTTGATAAATTTGTATGTCATAGGTGTAAATATATCCTAGGGAAGTTTTAAAATCAATTTATTGATATTAGATACCTACGAGGCTACGAATATATTAATTCTTATAACTCACTTTGGTTAATTTTTCATATGAAAAAAAAAATGTAATTGACATTTAGTAATATTATTAATAGGTAGTAGTACTCCATTCTGAGCATACTATATAGTATTATGTTTATTAATATTGTTATTATTTATTTAATAAATTAAATGAAGCGAATCCAGCGCTACTTTCAACAAATCAAATTAATACAAATCAATTACTTCATTCACAATATCATCAAGTTCTGATGGTCCTTCTGTACTGATTTTCATGCAGAATTGCTAGGTTTATTGTCCCCATCCAACTTAAAAATTTTTTTCCAATTCTATTCATCGCACTGAAAGAGTGCTGCTCAGTGACCGTTGAAACTGGTATACACAATAAGCAATTAAGCATTCAGCCAGTTTTTCAAATTTGCATATCTACCTAATATTTGATTCATAAATATATTATGACAGTCAGACAATGAATTTTTTACGTTTTCTTCTAACAAACTATATGCATTTTACAACATACCTACTTAAATAAATTCAGGTCTATCCAAACATTAGTAATATGAGGAATTTCTTCTTTTGCCATTAAATAAACACTATGCACAAAAGTAGAGAAATTAATTCTATTTTGTATTTTTTCTGAGTTAGGTACTCACTTTATTGAACCGTTTGTGTAAGTATGAGTACGTATAAGTTCATGTTTTCTTGTAAAAAAAATTCGTTCAAAACTAAAGCCTTAGAGTGATTTTCTAAACAAGCATGTTCTAAGAGAAGTTTTACCAGAAGCTTTTCGATAATTTGTAAATGGAGTAGGTACATATAAAAATACTTTTTGATTTCTGTAACTTTGTTCATTACTAAGAAATTGTTCACATACTTCATAAAAAGTCCCACTTTTTTCAGCATTAAAATATATCCAGTTGAACAATTTTCCCAATTTGTTTGGTAAGAATAAACTTTTAATATCTTAGAGTACTTTGATCCTCGATTAATTTCGTGGATGAAAGTAAAACCGGTGGGTTTCTTGTTTCGCATTGGCCGCATTTGTCTTTTTCAAAACATATCTAATACCTATAGAATTATTTTTACGTTTTGACATAACGGCAGTTAATTATTGATTTTATTTCGGGCCAAAAATCATAAAAACATTAAGTCATAGTAAGTCTAACGACTACTCACTTATTTAGGTAACAGTAGAATAACCGTGGGGTCATTTTTCCATCGTACCCTCCTCCTCTTAACGTTTGTTAATATTTATCAAAATGTCTGGCTAATGAAAATCGTGTTTATTTAACTATCTTATCATTTTTATTGCATATTCTAGCATAAATTTATCAATTTTGTGGGTAATGAAAATCTTGATTTTACATTACTTTGTAGAGATGTAGTGAACTGTTCGATTTTTGAACCAAGCCGAAATACCCAATAGTTTGGTTTTAAAATCATTCGATGCCGATTCTGCGCGGTCATCAATACAATGTTCTGTGGTGGGGTAGAGCAGCCTTGTTACGAAAAAGAAAAATTATATTTTTTTCGCATTAGTGCATCTCATAATCGTAAATCACGGAGCCGAGTAGTTTGAGAACCTAGGTTTTTGACCTAACCTAACCTAACCTAACTTTTTTACTTTTTAATGTTCGAGTTCAATAAAATATTTTAAAAGTTCGGTTCGACCTTAAAAATCAGAGTTCGTAATGTCTCTACTATTTTGTACTAAAATTTGGTCAAAACTCAAACAAATTATAAAATATTGTTACTTTTGCTTTCTTCAAATAATATTTATATACCAGAGAGAAATTCTATCCATTAATCATACGCTTCACCACTACTACCCTAAAAATATGTTTTCTAATTTAAATAGAAATTTATTTAATACATTTTCTTCTTCAACTTGTCCTGACGAAAATATCTGGCGTAATCCGTTTATCGAAAATAGAAAACGCAATATGCTCATTGTTGAGGTACCTACAATATATCCACCTTGCATAAATGGTTTAAAACCTTTTATAAGCGTGCTCAGGCTATCTACTTATCGTTAATCGTTTATTCATACAAGTAAGAATATTAAATTTAAATTATTTAAAGGGACCTCACTCACAGTCATTGCCATAAAAAATAACTTTACAAAAATAATTTTAATTAGGAATGCACAATTCTACTCTACGTATTTTTTCGTTACTTTAAATTCTAATGTTAATAAAAACATCTTCAAATCCCTTTAATCATCTATCTTGCTTGATGATACGCACCAGGTTGTCGGATTCTTATCTCACCGGGTGGTGTTTTACCAAGAGTACCCCACTAATAGTGAGTACCCAGTTATAGTTATAAGTTCTAAAAAAATTCTGTAGAGCCTTCTCTTGGTTGCTTTTTTGTAATCATTTTCAAACAAAATTATAATATTTCTCAGCGTAGGTACCTATAGTGGTGACAAAATAATTTGTCATCCGAGTTCTGTACAGATAGGTATATTATCGTATAATCATATTTATAGTTTTTCATGTATTCTTTAACCGTATAAAAACGGCAAAATCCGGTTCAGATAAAACGAGTAACTTCGCTTTATAATCGAAGTTTAAGGCTTATAAATAAATAATATTCACTAAACTTATTTCTATATTCTAATAACTTGTTCCGAATGATTCATCATAGTACAGCCCAAATTACTGAACAGATCTGGCTGAACTTTGGCACACAGATAGCTGGTATAACGTAGGCAACCACAAAGAAAGGATCTTTGAAAATTCAACCCCTAAGGGTGTAAAATAAAAGGTTTTTAGGTATATTTGGTACGAATATTTAATTGTTTATTTATTTATTTTTGTTTATTCAAGGATTACCTTGATGATACATATGATAATTTGGTTGTTACGGATATGAAAACTATTATAATTATTATTATTAGGTATCTACTATTATTTACGCTATTAAAATTTCACAATAGAACACTTTTTCTTTTTTATCCACTTCTCACCTATTTGTTTTCATTCAATTCTGACACGGTCAAATCCAAAATAGAATATGGGTAAATAAAAATACAAATTGGCACGGCTAGTACTTAAATAAAAATATTAATGTAGTTGGACAGGTCAATTATAATTTATCTATAAATATAAATTATACGAGTTACCTATGACGATAATATAAAAAATCCAACTATACATTTCCACTTCCGCTGACGTGCTATAAATCATAATTATTAAAATAATTACATTATATTGTTTAAGTATACATTTGTAAAAATAATCTAATATTTATAAACAATTTAAATTTGTAATAATTTGTGGAATATATATTGTTATACAACCTATTTTGAAATTCCATAGTATATATCATCTAGCATATATTATCATATTCACTAATTTTATTTTTAATTCACTATTTTTCAGTTTGCCAAACAGGGGTGGGCGACCAGTGCCTACGTCCAGGGTGCCTCAACGATAATAATTATACTTGATTAATTGGGAGGGTAGCGCTAAGACATGGTTCTACCCAGGGTGCTAATATATATATAGCACCAGCACTGATGTCAAATAACACAAAATAAGTAGTAGAAAGTCTGGAATACTTTCATAGTACTTCTACTTGTTGTAGCAACACATGGGGTTGCGTCAGCGCCAAGTCGACAGCTGGTGTAAAAATTGCGTCAAATAATTTGAGTAGTTCTAAACAATAGGTTTGGACGAATTGTCCCATCTCGGACGTATATGGAATTAAAAAAGAAAGAGTGCGCGTAACATAGAATGAAGATTGGATAAATTAAAGAAAAACGGTACCTAGTTGTTTTAAGTGAGAATAATTCTAAAGAGATTTAATTTAAGCCTAATAAGTGCAAGTTCTAGAAGAATGTAGTGAGGTTGCCAACATAGTTCATACTATGTTGTATGTTAGGTAAGATTTCGATCAGTATAGCGCCAAAAATTAGCGATAGCTTTAGATAAAACTTATTGATTCGAGAAGAATCGATATCTTGATTTGTTATTCATCATTTTTTCGGGGTATTGGTATAATATTCAGATGCATTAACATCAAAATTGCATTATTGAATCATTTTATCTATGCAGGTACCTATATAACAGAGTTGGGCGTTATTTAAATACAATTTTATTTAGATGATTATTTAAATAAAATAGTATTAGAATAATTATCTAAAAAAATGTTGTCTAACATAATATCAATACAGGTAACTATAATAGATAAATAAATAATTATATAAAAATATACCTAAATAAATATTGGCTTGAAATCCGAATCCGACTAAGAATCATAGCTCGATTCATCAAAGTCGAATTCATGGCTGATAAAAAGCTAAGGCACATTCATACGTCGTGGAAAATATTCATCGAGTTTGTGTTTCAAGGTTTTTTAATGTCAATGTTTTATTGTTTCCTCCATTCCAATTGGGATACATTTTCTTCGGGTCTTCAAAAAATTGCATAATGTATGATCCTCGAACATGTTTATGTTCTCTTGGCAATATAATTGTTTAGTAATAATACCAAGCTATATATTGGTTTAGTGCAGTGCACCAGTTGTTCCGGATACAATTGCTCACTTCAAAAATCTAATTTGTCCTTCAAGGTTATTGATTGTGTTTGTCGGATCATCAACTGCAACTGTTTAGGTACTCTTCTTTGCTGTGGTTAGTAATACAGTCCAGCGAAATAATTTTTTCGACGCCTGAGTATTATTTTCTTCCATCAATCATTAGAGCATAGGATGTTTACTTTTTCCGTCACCTTTAAAAAATCAATACCTGTCTTATTCCATTCACAATAAATTCCCAAAACAATAATAATTATCATATGATCTGCAGCCTATCACAATAGACGACATTTTATTATTGTGAAAAAGGTTTCACCCACATGTACCGTTATTTCGTTAACCAAATTGACAAACATGATGTAAACTCACAATTTCACAACAAGAATAGTAATTTACTACCAGTACTCACTTCAAGCTCATCGAGATGATGACCCTAATATACCAAGCACATAAATTTTCGATGATTTCTGTAACTCTCATTTCCAAAACAAATGACAATCACATTTTAAAATAAAATTCAAATACTTTGTTCCCTCGAAAAATGCATTATAAACTGGATTTAAAATCTTACAATACGATTTTTTAGATTTTATATTCGGAGCAGAGAGAGGGATCTATTGGTTTTTCTATGATGTGCGATTTTTTTTTTTTGTCTGAGCAACATTTCTACCAGAAATATTGCTCCAATAAAAAGCAAAATAACCTCTTTTTTGCAATTTAAATCTAAATAGATAGGTACTCAAGTAGAGAGTTGTTTCTTGATTTTCTAAGTAGTTTACATAATAATTCAGAAAACCGTAGACGAAAAATCAAACATTTACGGCATAAGATTTTTATATTTAAAATGTTTAAACATGATATTTTCTACCAGATTATTGCTCCAATAGAAAAACAAGAGAAATATTTTGTTGCTATTTTAGTTGTTGAATAAAAAGATCATTTATTAATTGTCCACCTAGTTCTTTTAATAATGGAGCAAAACCAAAAAAAATAACTTAGAAGAAACTGAGACATTTTCAGTTATTATTATATATAATTAGCTAATTAATAATTATTATTGAAGCCTCCTAATACTAATAAAACTACCTACTTACTATGTCTACGTAATATTTTATTCTCTATGAATTTATAGTAGAGTGCATTTTACTTAAGTAAAACAATAACACAATACTATGCCTAAAATAAACAATAATATGTAGGTATTTAGGTTATTTTAGATTCCGAGTGTAGGTAGGTAGTGAAGAAGTTATTAATTTTACTAAGATATTTTTTAGTTAAAATTTAATGAAAATTCTATCTATATTTACAATTAAAAAAAAAGATGAGATGATCTAACACTCGCTTGTACCCTTGTAGATGAAAACAATTTGAAAAATAAACAAAAAGTTATATTTTGCATATTATATGTTTGTTAAATGTTGGCGTATTAGGAGGTTTGGTCATTCACGTTCCCAATTTTTAATATCAATTAACATTTAACAGATGTGATTAACATTTTAGAACGTGGTGTATTGTTCAGCATTATTTTACTACTTATATGAAAGCCATCCAAAACACAATATACATTTATCGTTTGGTAGGTATGTAATATTGTTATTTATTTATTTCATACAGAATAGCGTGACTTATATAGTTTTATGATTTAGATGATTTAGAATTTAGAATCATATGTCACACAGATTTATTTATTTAGCGGTTATAATGTGAACACTGAACATATATTAATAAAAGCAAAGACTTTTATAAATAAAATATTCCTTAAATATCAACTAACAATTCATAATAAATAAGAAAAGTACAGCAAAAACCACTATGTGTTAATTGCATTTAAAACCACCATTTCTTTGAAAGTAAAAATACACAATATTCATTTAACTCAACCATAAAAATGTTAACGTTTTTAATTTTAAAAGATGACAATTAGCAACCATCTGTCTTAGCAGTAATGATGAGCAAGATGTTTAAAATAAAATAATTTAAGATTGCCAAAAGAAAAAAAATGGTTTTGGCAAGGTTCCAATAAAATGTGTAAGACAATCAAAAACGCCGCTTACCACATTCAAAATCGAGAATACCTATTTTTGACCCACATTCGAAGTAATATTTTTTGTAGGAAAATTGTAGGTGTTAAGTTTATAAATATATGGGTAATCAAACAGTTTATCATTTCACCGTGTTCAATAGTTGTATTAATTCGTCTTGATGGATACAACAGTAAATCCTAAATAATAGCATTGGTGTTTTGAATATAATTTAAACAAATTATTTCTTATAATTATTTTATAAGATCATCTAAAAAAATATGAATTACTACAATAATATTAAGTACTGGTTGCATAGAAAAAACAACAACAATAATAATAGAAAATATAAAGAAAAAATAATGCATATACATAAAATTATGCATATAATAATGTGTGAGTGTATGTAATGTTTATGTGTGTGACAGACTACATGAAGTACCTAGATTTTAAACTAAAAAAAAATATATTGATAACAATTTTTGATTAGCAACTTTTGGAATACTACTTCACAAAAAGTAAAACAAAACCATAATATGAGTATTATACAATAAGAAAAAAAAATCTAAAAACAAAGTTGTAATACTAGATATATTATTCAAAATGTTTAAGCAATGTTACTATTTCCTTAATTTCCCGTTTGTGTGAATGTAACTAACTTGGTTTGTTTTATGATCACCTACATTCAGATCTTCATCTGGCCCTAAAAAAGATTTACAAAAAATTGCTACATCTAAAACTTAACATAAAAAAAATAATAATAACAATAAAACTCAACATGTTGAAACATAATATAATATTAAATACAATTTTAAAAAAACCATGTAGACATACACAATAACTATTTTTTTGATTGGTTTCCTATTGAAGTCACTGAGGCAATTATGAATTACCTTTCAAGTAATGGCAGAAATTTTTTGACTTGTCCCAATCTTCAACTAACGACAAGTTAAACATAGAATATGCTGGATTTGATGTCACCTCGGAATCAATATCTAGGAACTTTGGTAAACGGTCAAGCAACTCTTGGTCTTCGAGAGCAGAATACGTCTCAAGTAACACCAACCCTTCGCATCTAAAATAAAAAATTTTAATTAAACAACAATCGTAATTATAGTATTGTACCCAAGGAGGAAAATGACAATTTTTTTTTGACCACACATATACCTAGGATGACAAGGTTTACAATAAATATCCAACTGGAAATACTGATTGAAGTGAATAAAACATCGCCTTTTTTTATAGATAGGGTAATGACTTTCATCTTTTTGAGACAATAGATTCACATAATCTCTGTGGCTGAGCTGAGTTTTAACTTCAATCACTTGACCACGGACCCTTGGTCTACGTATTGTATGTGTGTAATTCCAATGGCCTGGAAATAAACAAAAATAAAATCATGGGTCAGTATTGTAATGTAAATAAATATCAGAAAACCTTTTTGTCCTCGTTTTCGCAATCGAGCTTGCATATTTTTTGTATATGTTTGCAAGTAATTGTGTACAACATCAAAATCTTGGAACGGAGGAAACAATTGATCATTAGGTAGATACTTCACTAACCATTTACGTTTTTTTGAATTTGTTGCTAATCTATCACCAGTATCTAGACCCAACTTTTGACAAACAGCCTGGACAATTTAATAGAATTATTATTGGCAGAGGCTACTGGTAATTAATACCAATGTGTTTATATATTTACAGCTATCATTCTGCATATTTTATTTTCAAAATCTGATGAATTATCAATGACATCAAAATATGGATGTCCAATCCATGATGCTGATGATTTGACATCTAAACTCCTAGCTAGAGACACATCTTCTCTTCTACTTGTATGATCCTAAAACAGATTTTAAATAAATAATTATTAAATATAGAACATTATAATAATATAAGTTTTAACCTCAGTTGTATAAAAATCTTCAGCGCCACATGCAGCAGACACCATATGTATTATTTGATTATAACGATTGTCTCTCAAGTCAACCATATTCAACCCATTTTCTTTCATTATTAGATCCCACTTATTACTAGGTACATCTATAAAACCAAATTGAACATTTTTTTATTATTTATAAAATCAATTAGTTAGATACTTCCTTCCCCTCACAAAAAAAATATGCATACAATACAATGATATAATATACAATATATACACATCATTTATTATTCATTCTGCAGCTTTTATTAATTATATCTCATAAATATACTTAAGTGAGACTTTTTGAATAATTAATTTGCATAAATTAAATATTTTAAGTTTAAGAGTAGATAATAGTTATAGCAATACAGAAATAATTATCAATTAATTATATTGATAAAAATGAAACCAGAAGTATAATGCTGTACATAATCAACTTCAATATTGTAGAACAAAATATTACAATATATGGAAAAGTACTAATAGTAAATATATATCTAATTGTTAATATAAAAAAATATACCTAACAGATGTTATGGAATATATTTAAACAATACAAAATATGAACATGCATGTCACCAAATACATATGTATGATTTATTTACAGATCATCAATGTCATGCACATATTTTATGGTTGTCACAGATTGCAGTTACTGTGTTAAAACTAGAGGTTTAATTTTTTTGATTTTTATCTAAAATTATTTTATATGCATTTTTAAATTAATTAGCATTATATTAATTTAAATCAAAGGGGTTTAAACTGTTTAAAGTTAGATTTTCTAATTTTTTTTTTTTTTTTAATTGTATTTTTCATTTAGTTAGTTATTAAAATATGATCATAATGAATACAAAATTATTTTATTACATGCAGCTGCATCCATAGCACCTCTGTCACAAATGATTAGACAATCTTGTTCGCATGATTCACCCAACTCAAAAAATGTATTTTCTATTTGTAACATACATCTAAGAAGGTTCTCTTGAAATTTATGGGCTGTAACAACAACATTTTGAGGTTAATGATAATTTACATGAGCATAGACATGCATAAAAAGTATTGGACTTAGCTGCTTAAGCTTATTCTGTCAGTAATATATATTGCCATGATGGTAAATGATTTGTGAGGCTTTTATAATCAATATTATTAGTAAAACCATAAATGTAACATAATACCTAATACTATAAAGAGATATAAATATAATATAATACTAGTTTGAATATAAAACGATTATTAAACATTATGGCATTATGAATTTATAACCTACTAAGTTAGATTAAAATACAGTTTAGAGATTGCTAAAAAACTCATGGCCATCATAAAATAGGTTTGTTATTTTGTTGTATTGTAGAATAACAATTTATAAACAGACAAATGTACATCAACTGCATAGCAATAGAGAAAAAATAAAAACAGTCATGGCCTGTGTGAAGAACATATTAAATTTGATGTTTGGCCAAAATAAAAACAAGTTTTTTATCCTTATATTGAATGATATTATATTAAAACTCATATGTGACGTGACTAATATAATAAACAAAATATATATATATATTCATTATTGATTACCTTGGTCATCGCTTAACTCTGAAAATTTGACACCGCCACTGAAATAAAAAAAAAAATAAAATAAAAGAAAACATTAAAACTGGTGATACTGGATAAGAATTTAATAATTGTTTAAAAGCTGGATTTAAGGTTCATAATATTTCATTTTATCTTATGATTAGTATTATTATTGAAATGTATAAAAGTATATTTAATTTTAAGTTTGCCCATATTAATCAAAATTGAATGATAGTTCATAGTTGATTAATCATTATATTGTAAACCATAGATTACATTTTTATAGGATATCTCTAATAATTAATGCGAGCAATTGAATATAAATTTCATTTTAAGGGAGTCAATGATTATTTTGTAAATTTCTCATAAATTAAAGGATTGAAAATTGTTCTAAATTATTATGTAAGATAATGAAAGGTGAAAGAATCCCAATTTCGTTTCAAAACCCATAAAGATATAATTTATTACAAATAATACAGATAATAATTCAATAATGAATTAAAATTTCAAAATTTCATTAATTGAAAAAGATTTAGAATTTTCTTGATTTTGTTTATGATAATAAATTTTTGATGAATTTTTTAACCATTTTTTTTTTTTTTAAATATAAAATGTAGTTACTATATGGTTCTAGAAATCATAAATACAATTTATTTCATTGTTACATTATATACAATAATATAATATATAATATCTATTTTAATTGTGTTTCAAAAAACTCAAAAATTGTACTCAACTATTTCACAATTAAGAGTTTTAAATCTGAATAATGATGAACTCCATTATTAAATATTTGTACCTATAATAATATTTATTGCCTACATATTAACAGTTTGGCTCATGCATTTATTGCAGTACATCAATTTTCATTATTGTGAACTTTGGTGGTTGATTTTATGATTTATATACTAATTATGATAATTCACTACTGATAATTGTTTAAGGCATAGAGAAATAATCCCCTCACACCGGACTTAATTCCAGGCAAAAGTGGATTTAGGCTTGAATATTTATTTTCTTTTTCTCATACCTATTCAGATAAATAATGAATTAATTTTCTGTGTACATACATGTTTTTTAGTTTAACATTTAATTCAAAATATTTTTTTCAAAAAAACATAAAACATAATACTGATAATTGGAACTATACTCAAAAAATTCAAAATTATTTTAATGAAACTCAAAATCAGATACACTCAAATCTCCTACAATTTCTTAATGGCCAAGGAAGATCTCCAATATGCTCAGCCTGCGGTGTCCAAATCACCATCAAACACATCCTCACTGAATGTCGAATATATTTCAACATCAGAGCAAGTTCCAACCTGCCTGAATCATTAGTTGAAACATTCGACAATCATCCCCGATCAATACTCAATACAATCAAATTCATCAAAGCTGTCAAACTCCAAACCAAGATCTAAAAACTTACTATACAATTAGATTAAGTAAATATGTATGTAATGTAATGTATTTAATGTATTTACTCAATTAAATCATTTGTAAACCCAATGGTCCATGCTGCGAAAGGTCTTTTCTTCAGTATATATATAAAAAAAATATTTATTTTAATAATTTAATATAATAAACCCAAATTGTATTATTTGTTTTATCGTAAAATTATAATATGCTATACAAATCATATATTTTTCAATTATTATAATTCAGTAATATGTTTCACAAACATTATCGAAAACCTACTAAATGCTAAACGTTTAAACATTCAACCAGAGTTGTACTTATAAGTACTTATATTGATCTAAAAATATCAATGTGTTGTAAATTATGTAGATACATTGTAACAGGAAGACAAGTTTCCACTGCCAAATTAAATTTTCTTAATGCCACGGCACAATATATCAGGTATATAAAATTCAAAAGTACATTTTATAAAATAAGCATCCGATTTTTAGATCCACAATTTTTCGATGACACTAGAAGAATCAAAGTTTCCGTTTTAACCCCTTTTATCCCTCACCCCATATAATTTTCTTAAAAAATAACACATGCAACTTTTTTTTCGAATATACTTCACTATAAAATATAAACAATCCAAATCTAGGTAAAAATGTCTGTTGAAATTATGTTAGAAGAACCAAAATATTCAAAATACTTTTTATGTGAAAACCATCAATCAAAAGCATGCTTACTTCATTTCTGGCGGTTAATTATGCAAATTTTGAATTTGGGAATTTTTAAGTTTAGTTAAAGACGACATTTTCATAACATTTAAGTAGTATCTTGTTGACAATACCGAGTTCGATTTCCGTCAACTAGTTCACGAGATATTACACTTTTAAGAATAGGCAGAGGGAGAGTAGTAAGGCATAATTAGTGTAATGGTACAGCGCCTAATGTTTGAATAGTGTTCCACTGCTCTCCCCCTACCTAATCTTAAGAGCAGAATAAATTGACGGAAATGAAAAATCTCAACATATATTTCGTATTCAACACACATTAATAAATTATGGTTTGTAATTTTTTTTCTCCGCATTTTTTTGTTACATACGTATACGAAGTTCGTTTTTATTATTGAATTATATTTGATCTTTTAGATTTTTTTTTTCACAGTTATCTGTGTGTAGATAAACTGTGACAACCTACGTAGGTATTATATTTTGAACCAACGAATGGACACTACCTACACACGATTTACGAATTTACGACGAGTCGCGAAATACGAATAATAAAATAATACGCACTGTTCGTAATGTGTATGGATGGGTATTGTGTAGCTGCTAGATGCCACAATAATTTATGTTTGGCTTAGTGTTATTAATTTCGCTCGTTAGTCGTTATAGTTAGACGCGTCGAGGCAGCATATTATTATACTATTATATTATTACGTGAGAACATCACGTCATCTTCTCAAACGTTTTATTGCTGACTGCGGTATATATTATACCTAATACTAGAGAGCCAATATTATAATCAGAAAGTAGCCAACTAAACAACAGTTTTCAATTGGATACTTGGACATTTGGCGGTTTTTCTAATGTTCGTCATTGCAAATGCCTGATGTGTACCGCTAGCGCCATCGGTTATTAACTTATTAAACTAACTCGTGTCTAACAATATTATGGTAATATACTAATATAATATTATACCGTGCAATCGCAAAATGCCGTGTCTCATGACGAGTCGCATCATCATATCCACAGATATTAGTATGCATGTGCAAAACACCAATAAATCAACCGATCAATTTACTGTAAACCAATCGAGAGAAAAGATGAATTCAGTCCAACTCAGGTAAGCTTTTCATTCGTCAGGTTTTAAAGACATGTCCCGGTATCCTGGCCGATCATTCAGTTTGTCCCGGGTAATAGAAGCTGAGAGTAAACTTATGAATAACGTTTGGTCGGATGAATGAAAATACAGTATGATTAATATCACTCAATATCATGTTCCGGTTTGGCGATTTCAAAATCCGCAACCATAAACTCAGGGAATTTTCCAGTAAGTTTGAATGGTAACAAAATTATTTTAGATAGGCACTCTTCTCTCTACTTGCTACCATGCATACGGATGTTTCTATACTCTAGTACTTACTCTACAGTTACCGCTAGAGCGAGTCTATTATGACGGCATTATCACCGTGTTTGTGTTAATTATAATGTAATGAATTATAAAAATAATGTGTATGATTAGTGTCTACGCTATACTCTTAACAGTATGTTACCAGTAATAATTAGCAATTTTAATTCAAATAATTAAGTAGTCCGATTAAAATACACAATATTTTTTTTTACGCTCATATTGTATTAAAATACGAGTAGGTATATACTTTCAAACGAAAATTTGACTGATATTAAATAAGAGTTACTTAAAATAATAATAATAAGGTTTTTAGCAGTAAAATTTAAAAATGAGCTAATATTGAAGATGGGAGCGGCCACTGTTGTAGGTGAGAAGTTAGTTAGGATACTTAAGGTTATTTCATTTATATTTGTAAGCAACGATAAACTGTTGCTTGACGAAAGACAATTCCGAACGCAGTTCGGTAATACATGATTTGAAGTGCTGTATTTTTTTTTTAGCGATTTTCGTTTAATTTCAAAATGCTTATTAAATAAAGGAAAAAAAGTCGTCCGATGATTTTGGACATTTTACCACGTCTAGGTTAGTCCAATATAAGTATTATTTCTAGAGCGCGGATTTATATGCATTAAAAACCAACTAAATATGCGCTAAAAAATCTTAAATATGCATACATATATGCACTAAATTTTAAAATATACATGAAAAATAAAGGATATGCATAACAAAATAAGAAAAAAATATATATTTTAAACATTTCATTAAAAAAATTAATTTAAAATTATGGAACCCTACTATGAATACTTTTCTTCACTTTCATAATTTTATAAGTAGTTTTAATGTATAAGACTCTCGATAACGACGATTTATCTTTCGGCATTTTGATAAAATAATTTAATCTAAACGCGAATTACAACAAAAAGCACACAGGAATGCACAGTAAATATTTTAACGCAACTGAAATAATGTCAATGGTCATATCGATATTTTCTCATCTTAGTATACGTATTTCACCGATTATTAATTTAAGGTCGTATTTGGAAAAACCGTTTATACCTACAAGTATACCTCCTATTCATTTATTTTGATATTATCGAACTTATACAAATATAATATTTTTTTCTTATATTACAATAGTATATATTTTAAAAAGGTCAAAAAAACAAAAACCCATCGAAATATGCAAAAATATGCACTAAAAAGTTCAATTTTTTAAATCACTATGTCATGAAATACATTTTGTACTCACTTAACTTGTTATACGATCAACCAGAATAAATATGCAAATACATACAAATCCGCGCTCTAATTATTACCAAGCTTCAAGTCTCTACGTGTATTTATAACCGAATTACAGCAAAAAAAACTCCTAAAAATTAAAATTCCTTAAAAGCTCAAAAGTGACTTAAAAGTTTTGACGATGATACGGTAAGAAAGTAAGACAAAAGACACAAAAAAGGTGTCTTGTGATTTTTCGACTAAATCATTTTCTCTGGTAGAACACGTCCATGTTTTAATAAAATAATGAAACCATGAAATTATACGTTTTATTACGTTTTTTCCCACTTAAGTACTTTTATTTAAAAAATGGCGTTGGAAATCAAAAAAAATGACCTTTTTAAAATACAATCTAGACAGCTTGAGCTTTCAGAAAAGTTACTACACGTAAAAATCAGAGCAAGTATATTAAGTAAAACCATGTCTATAGACTAGAAGAAAAAAAAAAAAAAGAAAAAAACATCTTAGTAAAACCAATAATTCTCTCGGAATCTAAAAATGCTAATACTGGAGACGGATTTATCAATGTTATAAGTGGGGAAATTAAGATATAGGGTACATTAAATTATTTAATTTACAACCGTAAGCAACAATAAACCATTGCTAAAGAAAAACGATTCGCAGCTAAGTTCGGTTATAAGTCATGTTTTGAAAAACAGCCTTCCCCTCAGGAACGCGCTTGATTAAGTATTAGTTATTTAATATTATAATTACCTTTTACTTATAATTCTCTACTGAAATGTATAATGTAAACTATAAACAATAGAATATTATAATGTCTCGATTTCAGCACTCACAAGTTTTATAAAGCTTATGTTTACATAATTACATACCCTTTCTTCCTAATTCCCTTTCAAGAAATGTCAACTTATAATATCTATATGCTATAAATAGGTTTTGGAATCTAGTTTCATTTTGTCCTCCATCTGAATACCACCCTATGAACGCCCTTGAATATATAGTATTAATATTCTTATGAATAGTTATAAGTTACAAGTTATATTTATGCATTTAGTATATTTATACACAAATTAAAAATGTTTGTATATTATAATATAGCATTGCTATGTAAATATGAATAAGCAACAAATTCAAATGTTCGAAAATCCTCGTAATCAGAAAATATTCTTGAGTTATACAACACTATGTATGAATATACCTAAAACCTAATAATAATTATACCATCATTAAAATAGTTCTAATAATCTTTACCAACTGCAGAACAAAGTCAATATTATAATACGTTACTAAAAATATTATATGCGCAAATTATTATGTTTTAATCACCAAAGTATTCGATTAAGTTGGTCGATGTTGAAAAATACAATTATTTTTAAATAATATTATTGTTTCCGAGTTCACTGTAATTTCAAAGAAAAAAAAGTACAAATAATTATAATGTAAAACGTACCCTACAGCCTAAAATGTAATATAGGTACAGGCAGTATAGTATACAAACAGTGGTGTAGTTAGGGTAGAATTTAGGTGTTATAACCCCTTCCCCCGATTGCTTTTTTAAAATTATAGGTAAGGTTAAAAGAGTTGTATATCCCTAAACCAATCTAAAATCCCATTGCTTTTTTTAGTTATATTGAAGAATAAGAGAATTGAACATCCCTAAACCCCTCTAATCCTAATCCATTTATAAATCCGCGCTGCGCCAGTGTAAATAGGTGTATTAATATAAGTCTGTATGTAACCTTAAAAACTATAACTTATTACTTATTGTAAAGAAAGAGGGAGGTCATAAAAAAACAACTATAAGATTTAGGTACTTGTTTAAGGACGTATGGCTATTGAAAATAGAATTAAAAATATAATATATTATATATATATATACTTAAACTCGTAGTAAATACAGTCTTCTACAATCCCCATTAACTTTTCCAAAACTTGGTGACCATTGATAGACACATTTTTATCAACTATATAAGTAAACGCAATTTATAATCCATATACATATAATATAATTACCTTAGAAGAACATTAGCGGTTTCTGGAACTCTATACACCTAAAATATCATATATTTAAAAATAATTATTTAATTAGACATAGATTAGGTACTTACTTTCCATCCTAAATTTTCAAAAAATGTACATAACCTCGACTGTCCAGTCGTTTTGCCTCCACAAGGACCTAAACAATTAGATACAATTATTCATTATCTATTATATTAAACAATAACAATTTGTATACATAAATTAAAAATTTTAATGTTAGTTGTTAGTTATTCTTATAACTATTATATTTTTTTTAAATAATTTTCGTGAACATTGGTAGGTAACTAATTTATTGTTTTAAACCACGTCCGATTTTTGTACAAATTATCATTGTAATCGTTATTTATTTCAATAATCATAATAACGTTATCCATACTATATCCTTTATTTTTACTGTTTAAGATAATTGAGACTTTCGATTTAAAAAACGATACCATGTAACATTTTAATTTTATATTACGGTTAACATTTATATCAATGGAGTAGAAAAGAGCAAACGTAATAAAAACGTCGTGTAATTTTGTCATTGAAACACCTCGTAATTTCTAAACTTGAAATTATAATAATAAATTTCAAACCGTTGGTCAAATATTAGATTATGTATACTATAGATACTTAGTAAGTAACTATCAAAATGCCTCTAAATAATGTCTTTGAAAATTCAAATTATAAATTCTTATTTGTAAATCAAACATAAGGCTATATTAACCAAATAGGTACTTTGACATTTTAGACTTTAAGCAATAAGTAATGTGCATATAGACAGTACACGCTTTTGTATGTCAATTTATTTATATGCTTTATATTGAACGTAGTGAGGAATGTATTGATTTAACTACGTGTGCGATTTTTAAAATATTATTATTATAATAGACAAAAATAATAGTCCGTATGTATATTATGTAAATTGTTCAACTGTATATATACAATTGGGTGAACAAAATAATAACTAATTAACTTTTTTTTCGGAATTGGTTTTTTAGAACATTTAAGAAATAAGTAGCTTCAAAATGTTATAATACTCTTTATCACCCTTATTTTAGAAGGTGAAAATACTACCTACTTTTGATTTTAAAATGGCAACCTATATTAAAAATTGTATAACTAAATGGAGTATTAATTTAAATCAATTTAATTTCCGCCAATCCGTTGACGAAATATTCCATTTTTAAGGTTCGATGAGAAGAGATTAGTAGTGAATCTTTTGTGTGGTGGCACAGCGCGCAGCATTTTAAGTGTTATATCCCGTCAACGAGTTGACGGAAATCAGATACTTTAACTCCAAAATTAAACTAATATTCCATCTATTTATGGACGATTTAATATAAGTTTCAATTAGAAAATCAAAAGTAGATTGTAATTTCACCCTTTAAAACAAGGGCAACATAAAATAACCGTAATGTAAAAATTTAGAGCTACTTATTTCTTAAATGACTTAATAAAACAAATTTTGAAAAAAGTTTACTTTCCGAGATGATGAGTGTCTTACATTATGTTAATCATCCTATAAAAATATTACAGAAGAATCCGTTTAAGACGCTCTCACTTAAGATTTACTGCCTATACGCTCATTTTCAAGAGTCCCTTGATTTTGAAAATGTTTAACATGTATAATAGACTTCAGATAACACGCTTTATGTTACCTTTATTTGGTGTAAGTTTTTTTTTATATTTATTATACCGCTGTCTTTGTCAGTGAAATTTAAAGGACTATCTTACTACCCAGTAAAAGTCACAGTGAAAAATTCAGCGAAAAAAATTGGTGTACTCGGTGCATTGTACTATATATACCTGCAGCATAGGATGAAATTACGGATGTCGTTATTAAAAATTGTTTTCAGAAAGCAGTGAAGATTTTCAAGATTTGGATGTGTTTCACAGATAAGGAGCAACTGACGATGGTGTCAGGTAGTCTATTTACCAAATAGTATTGAACAGAAAGTTGCTTACAGATAAAATTACATTATCTGATGTAAATAATACAGAGGAAGAAAGTGAGAGAGGATGAAACAACTTCAATAATTCCAGTAACGAATGCACTTGATCATATCAAAGAGTATGAAAATGAATTGTATCTTTTGACAATGCTGATGAAAGTATGAAATAAACAAAAACCAATAATTTATTGAACCAATTAATATAAAATACATGACGATAACATGAATGTAACGTAAAATATTTAATAATAATATAAATTTAATGTGTAAGAATAATCCGCTAAATACTCTTATTTTTATCTAGTTCCTAAGAGTCTAAAGACTAAAATTATCTACTATATATATATATATATATAATTTCGCTCTAATATGATTTGTGTACTTAAGTATTTGAGTGTTAACACTTATCTAAGTAAAAATGTATATTTATCTATCTATCTATTGATCTTCAAAAACGAAATATAAAAATCTTATTTTAATAATAATAACTATTCAAGTTTTACTCTTACGTTTGCTAATTACGTTCAAATAAAACTACAAAAAGTCATTATCATTTTTTATTATTATTAATATATTGTTATATATTATGGTATTTGTTTGTTTAGTGGCACGAACAAGTTATAAAAACGAAAATTGTATAAAAATGAACGTACACATAACGTATAATGTATAAGCATGATTTATTGCAGCTTTTTAATGTTATAATAGTATATGAACTTATTATTAGCGGAGTAACTTATTATATTGTAGTTACTAGGTATATAATACGTACAGGAGGTTATAGTATATTTGACATAAAATGGCTTTTATGTGAGATAATTACAGAAATATTTTTTTTCGAAAAACCTTGAAACATAATATAATAATATTAAAAAGCATCAAACATATAGAAAGAGTTGAATTTCTACTGTTTTAAGATACATTAATAGGAAATAATTTATGAACTTTTTAGTAATACAATATGAACAATACATATAGGTTAGGTAGCTATTTATTATAAAATTAAACGTCTGCGTATTCATTACGCTTAAACGCATATTTCGATTAAATTGAATACCAATAAAAATGATAAATTACAGTTTACAATGTTAACGTCATATAATATGTACAATACTTATCGAAACAACAAAAAGAACCTGATTTTTAAAAACATTTTTAAGTTAACAAATTCTATTAATTAATATTTATAAAACTTTAAATGTGTTAAGGATTTCATAAAATGATTATAAACAAAATTTGATTTTTAAAAATCAATATATCAATATAATTTCGTTAAATGTGAAAAAGTCAAATTAAGCCTAATTATAAATATTATTAATAAATAATTAATTCCACTCGACCTCTATATTACATTATTTAATTTACCAATGAGAATAATAATATACTATAAACACATTTTTTTTTTTTTTACTGAAATTGGAAAATATTTAATCAATTTACGGTTTTACTTTGTTAACAAATGTAAATTAAAATCGTTAAAGTTTAATAATCATTGTAATATATGTATACTGTATAATATATACATGATGATGCATTTATCATTAAACACTCATTAATTCACATAGTATTGATTTTTTTCAAACAAATTTTTTTTAATAATTTAAGAAACAAGGGAATCTAAAATGTTACGTTATCATTATCTTTTGTTATCCTTAGTTTTGGGTGTAAACTGACTACCTAATTTTTATTTTAAAATGGTGTCATACATTAAAAGTTCCATACATAGATTGAGTATTAGTTTAAATACATTTTGGTGCTGACATTTTTTATTTTCGTCAAAAGATATTCCACTTTTAAGTTTATGTATAGGGGAGTATAATTCAAACTTCACGCACTATACCACCACACAAATTATATTCCGCTCCCCCCCACTCAAACTTAAAATTGAAATATCTCGTAAATAGGTTGAGGAAAATCAAAAAATTCAACACGAAAAATGATTTAAACTAATTGCGAAATAATGAGTGTTTAACGTTAAAGAATCACCCTGTATACATTTGTTTTGATAATTTAGTTATATATGTGTGACCTTCTTATGACGTCTTTCAAGAAGTTTTTTCTTTAACTTTTCATAATATTTAATTAAACAATTCAAAAGTAATTAAAGAAACAAGCAAATTGGTTAAAGAAAAACAAAAATACTTATACAATAATTGAAAACATAAAATAAAATGAACGGTATTTTATATCAATTAATTGTTTATGTTATGTTATTATTATTGATTATTGATGAATAATGATGAACTATACATAAATATAGAAAATTAATGAACATAATGTATAATTTATTAATATCGTAAATTATAATAACATTATATATTTATGTTCAATTATTTTACTAAACATGATATAAGATTTTAATACACATTTTAAAATATTCAACTATGACTATTATCGTAATAACTAATATTCCCATGTTCTTCTCGGTTTTTTCCATTTATTAAGAAAACTCTTGGGAAAATCAAAAATAACCTCCCTAAAGTATCACTCCAGTCAGATTTCCTTTGAGAAAAAGTGCTCTTATGGTAAATTGGAGCAAAATTTCTGGTAGAAAAATTGTCCACAAAAAAATAAAAGAAGAAAAAATAAACATTATTGTGAAACAAATACATTTCTCGTTTCGCTCTGAATCTAAAATGCATTTTATAACATTCAATACACTAAAAACTCTTTATACAAATTAAGCAGGTGTTAATGAGATACAGTATATTTATACTGTATCTCATTGTTATCTCAGATGTTAAAGTAGTTTCAATTTTTTAAACCGGTAAATTTAATTAATTAAACTAACATTGTAGTATGGTGGATTTGTAGGTTGTTATCATTTTAATAAACTTATGCATATCATACATTTTAATAATAATAATATTATCATCATCATCATTATCATCATCATCATCATAATCATCATCATAAATACATTTGTAATAATAAAAGCAGACAAAACGAATGGAAATTAATGGGCCGTGTGGTGTGTACGTATTTAACAATGCCTACTATAGACGTAATTTTGCAATAGGTGCATAGTTCAATAAAACATATTCATTTTATTTTTAATAATACAGAATGGAAAAAAACACACTATTCAAATGACACGTGCCACACAAATAATGTTACACTTTTCAAACTTAAAAGTGGAATGTCTCATGAATGAGTTGACAGAAATTAAAACTGTCAACACCAAAATGTTTCCTAACTAAAATACTATCTATTTATGGAATTTGTAACACAGATGGCAAATTTTAAAATCAAAAATGAATAGTGGTTTACCCTCGAAAATAAAGATGATAAAACATAATGGTAAAGTAACGTTTTAGATCGGCTTGTTTCTATTATCAAAAAAATTCTGAAAAAAAATAAATACTTTCCGAGATATTGCATTGGGTAATCTTCGTGAAACACCCTGTTTCGGTACACACACAACACAACCTACTTTATTAATGAAATTTAAAACATAGGAACACTAATAATAATATTATAACACCATGTGTTTATAATATAGACATATTAACCGACGATAGATTAATATAGGTAATAGTATACTGTATTTATTATTGCCCAATAAAAAAATCATATCTAGCTTAAAGTTTAGCGATAGGTTTTTATATTTTACGCGATAAAATAAACTAATAAACATTTGAAACGTTCGAATAAAATTACCACTGAAAGAATTAATACGTAATAATATCCGTACTCAAATGATATTTAAAGATATCGGAATAATAACTATACTTCTACGACAAATAAAAGGGCGGTTTTAATATTATTCATAAACAAATATTTGTCAATAAACCATAATGAAAAAATAAACATCAACTGTCAAGATAAAACTATAATCATAAATAAAACACGTTATTAATATTACATGAATATTGTTAGTAATTGCAGAAAAACTATTTATTGTTAAAAGTTATAACATAATATACATACAAAATACAATAAGTTCATTATTATCTCAAAAATTATTAAATAACTCGAAATGATATTGTTTAGTCGCAAATTAAGTTTGAACAAAATGCCGATACAGCTAACGCTGGGCATACTGTTGTAGACAAAACCGATTTTGAGCGAATTTAGATTAAAAATGTTTTAAAATTACGTGACTTTTAAGATTTTCAGTAAAATTTGTACTTAAAAAAGTACATATTACATATGCATACATATTATATATACAAATTTGTATTTAAAAAAAAAAAACTACTATTATACACATAACGCACCACTTAATAAACTTCGTATTAATTTTTTAAATATCGTGGCTGAGCCAAAATAATTTTATCCACATAAAACCAACCAAAAACTAAAAATACTTTAAAATTGCATATTGCTATTAATAGCTCAACATTTTTACTATATCTAAAAAAAGCTAATATAAACATTCTGTGGACATTTCAGTTTAAATTACTGTTTACAATTGAATTACAATAGAAAAAATAATATCGAAAATAACAGAAACCGTTATTAAAAAAGTTTTCCAGTTTTTCCCCAATTAATCAAAAAATTTGTAGGAAAATCTAAAAACAATCTCCCCAATGCACCAATTAGACAAAATGTATTTTCAAAAAAAAAAGCTCACTTGAAAATCCGAGCAAGATTCCAAGATTTTTAGTTAAAAAATTGTTAACAGACAAAATAAAATAAAAAAAAGCATACATTATAGTAAAACCAATGTATTTTTCACGGCGCTCAGAATCTAAAATTGATGACTAACGTGTTTGTGAGTATAAATATAAACCCGATATTTGATAAGTCAACCAAGTATCATAGTATAGTTGTAGAAAATTATCACCGGTAAATGTTCTTCTTAATAACACTTAGTCATTGAAGAAAAAAATGAAGAAAAAAACAAAGCTTGTAGATATGATTATTGTCACACGCTTTTTTTTTTTTATAATATGATTATTTTACTTTATATACATAGACCCCCGTATAATAATAAAATCGAATTCTTAGAATTATTATTATAAAGGATATTATCTTAGTTGCATATAATATATAACATCCTACTATGTACCGAGAATCAGTTTTTATATATTTATTTATTTAATAGAATGAAGACAGGTTTAATTCAGTTCATAATTAAAATTATTATTTTTATTTATATTAGTAAGTTATAAAGATAATGTACTATTTTAAAACTAGAATCTCGTAAAAACTTTGTTGTTCCAAAGATTGAAGACATTGAAAAGAAATGTAGACTTACAGTCAAGGTGTTCTAGAATAATAAACTAGGTAGGTAATAAATTACCTAGGTACCAAAGCTAAACATTAATGTTAATAATCCAATACAAGTTATTATTCAATAGGTACCTTATCGGTCAAGTATACTCGTGAAAAGTTTTTTGCTAGTTATCAAATGAAGAAACATTATCTAGATAAGTAGGTACCTACCTAACATTCATTGAATTAGGTAATATTATTATATCTTAAAGATTATCATATTGTTCATAATTATAATGCACACTATGTATACTTACAATGCACATTAATGACAATAAATGATAGTTGTAATATTGTTTGAAAAAAAGTAATTATTTAGTGATACGATCATAGCAATTATTTATTACTAATCAATATACGCGACACGCGTTATACCAAACTGGGTACTAATTAACAATTATTTTATTTAAATAATACACAGTCAACAATAAGGGCGGCATTTAAAATTACGTCGTACTTTTAAAAAAAATTATCTATTGATAACTGAAAAAAAGACCAAACCATATTACATTCAAAATCAAGGTAATTTATGCATTTCATTGTGTAAAACACATCACTACATAACAAACATTCTGAATAGGTATTTTTCCATGGAAATATGTACAATATTATTTTGTTCTTTAGAAAAATCAAGAAAGAACACGCACTGATAAATAAATTACTTTATAATTGAGTATGCCATTTCCCGGAAATTTCCCAAAGGATCGTATAATAATAACTAATAATAAGACATCACTTTACCAAGAACAAAACCAAGTTAAAACATAATAATTTGCTACACAAATATTGTAAATATTTCTCGAGACTTCGATCAACCAACTTGGCGATTTATTTTTAGTCAAATGTTTACTGCGACATAAACTTCACCTCATTTCATAATATCAAACTGTACTCGCAAAACATCTAAAGACTAATCAGCATTTTCTACTAATGTGTATGACTACTATTAATTATACACCACATCGTAGAAATGTAATAAAAAAAACACATACTACTCTTTTCTCCCAATAATTGAATGTAACTTTTACATTATTATTGATGGTTAAATCGTTATAGATTTAATTAAAATTTGAACAAAAGTATTATCATAATTGGAGAACAAACAAATTTGCATAAGAATTCGGGAATACAGTTTATTGGTTTGTTACTTTTTCAATAAGAAATTCGTCTTTTTCGAAGAACAAACTGAGTAGGTAACTTGATAACTATGCCATACAAATACGTAAAGCAAGATATTAATTCTGTAACTGTAATTTAAAACACCTATAAAATAAATTAAAAATGGTATTTTATATATTCCAGTTTTGAATATCTGTTTTTAAATTACGCAACATTTTACATTTTACTGTTTATTTTGGTTTTAAAAATGATCGAACTGTATTAAAATATTCGATAATAATATTCCCAATTGTCTATATTATAATAATTATAAATAATATTACCAATTTAATGGCACGCGATATAATTTGATTATATATATAATTCGACGTGTAATAGGTATATTGCGATACAAACAAGTTACTCATAAAAGATAAAACTATAATAAAAAGTGTCACAAAATGTGAACTTGTTTTTTTTTTTTAATTTGTCGTAGTACTTAATTATTTATTTTTTTCAACAAATCAATAACAGACATGGCATTTTTCACCGAAATACATTGGCACTTAATAGGACATAACAGATCAAAATTAACTAAATAAGAGATATATTATAATAAAATAAATAAAAAGTTTAATTGGTCGCCTAATACACTTCCATTATTTTAGCCAGCATATAATACCTATTAATTATAATTTATGTACATTAAAGTTCGATAAATAGATCAGAATACTAATTAGGTAGTTATTAAAATTAACTATACAGTACATACCTAACTAAAATATAATAATAATAAATAATTACTAATTATACAATTAAAAACCATCACAGAATTCACTATTAATTTGTTGCTTATAAAAATATATGATAATGATTCGTATGATAGTGAAAATAAAAATTATTTAAATTTCGTTATTTATTTAATTATTTCGATCATATTATTATAGTTACCGAACTACTATAATTTCAGATTTCAAGTACTGTGGGAAAACTTTTTTTTTTATCTTTTATTATTTTAAGCATATATAAATAGATAATTGATGCAAGTAGTACTTAAATTAATTAAATATAGAAATATATATGGCCTTTGCTGGTTTCCAATACCAAAAATAATTTTTCAACACTTTTCAAAGAGATAATAAACAAGTAGATTCGGTCTACCTGTTTACCATATTAATGTATATATGTAGGAATATCCTAACCTGTCATGTATTTTATGGATCGAAATATTTATTCCATAGGTAGGTATATCTATTGATTTATTAAAATAAATAAATAAATTATAATGTTTATTAAGATCGACAAAATGTATTCGTTTGTGTTGAACAGATAATTTGGTAGTCATTAAAACATTTAAAAACCTGTTTTTATAAAAAAAAAAAAAAACTATAAACACGATGTAAACAAGTAAAATATTTAAACATGCCAACCCTGAGGTTTTTGTACGAGTATAATATTGGTTGAATCCAAGTTCCGCCCCAATAACCTTTTATCATACCAATTTCGTCCCAGTGAAACAGGCGAATTTTGCGCCCTCGTAATTTTTATCTCGGAGGGTAAAAATTCACAAGGTAAAATATCGACAATGCAGCAGGCAAATTTTACCCATATTGTACAAAAATATAACTATACACACACATACTTTTATAATACCAAAATATTTTTATGACTTACTAACTTATCTTAAATGTTATCGCCAGATTAGACATTAAAGAAATTCGCAAATATAGACGATCCATATTTTAGGTCAAAATTAGTGATAACTACTGAACACGAAATTGGAACCGACATTTTAATTTCAAAATAAAAAAAACACCACTACCCTAATATTTTCACTTTCGCATCGCATAATTTATCAAATTTTACAGAATTACACGTTTAATAAAAACTCTAATGGTGTCATGGCCTTAATAATTAGTAAAAGAAATATACCTCATGTCACTTTTTAGATATTGTAAGTATAAAAAAAAATTATTTTACAAAGGGCACAGTGATATCGCCAGATTTTATTCTCCATTCGTGTGTTTGTAGTACCTGAATTCTAATTTTTTTTTTTTATTAAATTATCTAACATTATAGAAGTTTAGAAAGTAGGATGTATTATATAAAGCAATTTAATTTATATATGTATGCAACTTTGCATGTCTGTAAGTTTATTATACCATTGCTAACGAAAATTGATTCTGAGCGAAGTTATATTAAACATATGTCGCGGTTTTAACGATTTTCATTAAAATTTGAACTTTAAACAGTTATCAAAAAAATGAATAGATTAACTTTTCTTTACCGCCAAATACAACAACCTCATCATGTTAAATTGTCAAGCATTTTGGTTGAGCCAAACTAATTTTATTCACATAAATCGAAAAATAGAAGGTACACAAAATACCGTGAATTTACTGTGAAAACAAAATTTACGATTTTTATTAAAGAAAAGAAAATGTACGAGTATATACGATATAAAATTATTAGGTAATTCCGCATGAGTATAATCATTACAATGTAATTGAACATGAAATAATTTATCAGACTTTGAAAAACTAAAAACAAATGGCAATATAATGATCTCTTATGACGATTACGGTGTTTCATTTTCTATTCCATTCGACACTAAAGGTATAACGGTAGCGTAAACTATTATACTTAGTATTAATCTGCCATTTTGGTTTTTTTTTCATTTTATCAATTTACAGTGATAAAACAATTGTACCTTTATATTACATCAAACGAGATATCAAGTATCTTGATTTTTATTTGTTTTAAAACCATCGTTCGTTTTAATAAAATGTCGATCATTTTGCGACTAAAAAAAATCAGATCGAATTGTAACAAGAGAGGCAAATGTTGTTTTTCGTTTAGCCTTGAATACTTATCAGCTATTATTAATTGATTCTAATCCGTTGAATTACTGCTGCGGTGTTTTGATTACATAATATTATTATGGTTACCTATTTAATAATATTAAAAATATAGGCAGGTACCCAAATATAATAGATATTAACATATCAATTCATTTTTTAAATATTCATATTTTATAATAATAATTTTGTTACAACAAATATATTTCTTCGGTTGCAATCATTATACCTAGAATGAAATATAACATAACATGTGAACTCTCATTATTATTAACCAGCGTCAAAATATGGAAAAATATCACGCTTCGATTACCAATATTAATAACACCAGTTTCGTTTAAATTTAGTAAACCTAGATATATTTATTTGGTAAATTTTTCGAGACAAAACAAAACGTGATAAATGGATAATTCCACGTATTTTTTTTTTTTTTTGTCAAAGTAATTTGCTATGCATTGTACCAAAACATTTAATTTTTAACGGAACGGAAAACGACATTTTTAACCGACCTTCAAGTGTAGAGTATAATATTTGTCGTTTGTTACCTCGCAAGTCGTTTTTTTGCGTCTGTAAACATTAGTCTATCAAATAAATTTAATCCAATTGAAAATTGTATAGAAACTTTCTTTTAGCATTTTTGGATCTACCTGGTGCATTGGAAGGTCATTTTCGATTTTCTTTCCACGATTATAGAAAATTAATTAAAATCGACTAACGAGGTTTTGCTGGGTTGCCACTACATACCTACTAATTATTATTAGTCTGTACAAAAATAGGAAAGAAAATATTTTTGTTTCTTTCAATTGTTGGGTTTTGAAACGCGATTCGTGTGAATAAGAGATCTTGGGACGCACTTCGTGTCACGCATCGATATTATTTTCTTTTTCTTCGTATTAATAAAAAAAATCAAGTATAATATTATTATCATGATCGTTATTTCTTTAAGTGTCTAACTACCTACGTACATTTGAAATGCTAATACGGGACGTAAAGGTACAAAAACCTAGTGATTCCCATTTTTGTTGTTGTTATAATACGTCGTACATATTTACTGCAATCTAATAAGAGAATACCTATAGGTACTTGAATACTTCTAAAAAATCAAACAAGCAAAAAAAAACTCCATTAATATAATACGATAATGGGATCAAAAACCGCAAAAATAAAGCCTCATGCGTGTATGTTTATAGAAAAAATATATATAGAATAATGCGACTTATTAATTATTATATATAAATATATCTATATAGGTAAAAAAAAAAAACCGGAATAAAATAACAATAATTAAAGGTACCCAATAATAATAAAGATTTAAGGTTATCCTTGAAATGTATATAATATTATATCTAGTATACCTGTTATTTTTATTATTTACGAATTCCGTATTTCATTCGTCGATTCCATTTTGTAACCACAGTATAGTTTCGGGAAACCGTACGAAACGGCTTTCGATACACCTATTCGTGGATATTCGTTTCGTTTTTATTTTTTTTCAATACATAGAGGATAGATAATATCCAATGAGCGGGGAAGAGGAAACGTGTCTACGGCGTCGAATCAATCGCCAAATATTATTGTGGGTAGGCAATGTAACATTGGCATATAATATTATTATATATACGCAAACTTCAATACACGATTATTACTACGAAAACTATCCCATTAGTCATTGTCAGTATATAGACACTATATGGGAAGGTATAAAATATTATAAGGACCTAAATATTATTATATTAAAGCAAAACCTACTATATATTTTTATTGACCGAATAAAATATCGCCGGCGGATCCGTTCGTGAACAAAAACATAATTATATTTTTTAACCGTATATATATTGGTAACCCTATCCCGGGACACGGGGTAAGGTTACCATTAATCGTAGCGGTTTTTTCATGATAATAACTGCAGGAATTTAATAACCTTTGCAAATCGCAAGTACGACTTACCACGAACCTACTGTTGAGTTTCCATGCATTTCTGTTAAATCGAATAATTTTATCCACGCAGTACCTATCAAATAAAAATTACTTAAAAAACTCTCAAAATTAAAATGTCGAAACAGCTCAAAAATTTTGAACAATTTACCACGTCTAGAAAATGCAAATTATACCTTTTTTGTCCGAATTTCAAAGTTCCACGATTATTTTTAATAGAACCACAACAAAAAACAAAATTTAAAATAGTAAAAACATTATTTTCGTAAATTTTCCGATTTTGTCTACGTTCTATGTCGGTTTTGCTCAATTATTAAAAAACTACACAAAAAATAGAAAATCGACTTTTTTGTTTAACTATATTAAAATGCAACACAAATTTCAAGTTGAAAAATTGCTCCCAGACAAAAAAAACAAATCTAAAACAAAAGAGAACTGATTGTAATAAAAATTCTATTGGTTATAATTTTATAAGTATTGTATTTATAATTGTTTTTGTATTTATGTTATGTTTATTTTTATGAATAAGATCAAGTTACTGTTTTCTAATATTACTACATTTTTTTTATAAAAGGGCTATTGAATTCAAAATGAATGAAATTAACAAAAACTTTGTAAATAATATTTATTTACTCTGATAACCCAACCTGGAAAATTGATTACAATTTTCGTTTTTTACTAAAACAAAAGCTCGGAAAATACATCACATTGTGAATTTAAACTATCAGTTGTCGATTATGGCCTATGGGAGACTAAGTGGAACCAATGTACCCCCTCCTCTTTGATCACTTCTTTAGTGCGGGTTACGTGTTTTGAGAAGAATAAACTTATCTGCAAGCTTCAAAAACTAAACGATTTTTGTCCCTCCCAGTATTATTTTGATAAAAACGGAACTGGAAATGTCTAAACGCCACACGACCGTGTTAGTTTTTCTCTGGGTTTTCAAATGCAGTTGTCGGATAGTCACCGAGATTTGGACCCGTAAAATGCGGATATTACAATATATAATCGTATTATTATAATAATCGCCTCTACTTAAGTAGCTTTGATAATCGTAATTCGTGCGAAATCGATAATGACGGCGACATGTAGACAAAGTCTATTTCCCATTATTAAAGGGAAAAAAAAGGAGGCGGGGAAGGGTACAAGACATATGGACGCAGATAACGCAGTAAACCGAGACGCGGACGTACGAGAAAATCATAAATAAATAAATACCAGATACGATAATATTTCTATACAGACACAATATCGGGCGAGACCGTGGCGTAGGTAATCGACTGCCTTAAAACCCGTACTAAAAACCATAGATATTAAAGAATGGCCATCTATGTTTATCATACGGGAACGAAGATGAATATAAAAATTATAGAGGTCTTAACACAAATAGATAGCATTATCCGAGTTCCGTCCCAATAATCTTTTTTTTTTCTATACCAATTCCGTCTCGATTAAAAATGTTCTGATCGATGTTAAAATACAGAAAAAATTAAAATAATATAAAAATGTATACAAATTCGATTATTTAATGCGATAACTGAAAGCAATAATATCTTTATTTCTAAATAATATAAAACTGTTCCCATAGTCGTAAATTGTATACTATGTTGTATATAAAGTGTAAAAAATTAAAAACCGAACGGAACTCGTATGATTAAATAAATTACACGGGACCGAATTACTATATCAGTTTTAAAAACCCTGGACGGAACTCGGATATAGTCAAATAGATAACAGTATTGGGAGAAAATAAGTCGAACAATGAAATTAATAATAACAACGGATACAATAAAGTTTAACAATTTATATTAATAATAATTGTTGGTATTATATTGTAAAATTTTATAATCTCCAATCTACGACTTGCAATGATAATAATTGCAAAATAAATCGTGATAATTCCTCTGTCAGAGTGAGAGGCATTGATATTAAAACGGTCTTTTCCTCTCCCCCGTCCCGGCACATTTCTCTCCATTTTTGTCGGTGTAGCCTATCCGTTCTTTAATATCCATGCTTAAAAACGAACGAAATTCTGCCGCCACCGCAGTTACGGGGAAATAAAAAACATGACACCGAAAAACTTCAGGGGATACGAGTTTACTGTGTTGTTTAACGACGTTCGTATTCGTCGACCCCCGAGGATTCGTATTCCACGCGGTTAGGATTGTGCGTGCGCAATACCCGTTGCCGTTATGCGCGTCGGGCGCGGGTATCAAAGGTATACAGGTACCCGAGCGTTTGTAAAATGAATAATCGCTCGTACCTACCTACGGAATAATACCCGCCCCGCCGGCGTGCCATCTTCTCACACCGCGCCTCGCCGCAGACCCGTTCGAACAACAGCTGACGAAACTGTTCGTCGTTTTCGTCTTTTCAGCGACGCCATACCGGTTGTGGAGGGGGGGTTGTGCTGCGGGATACCCCTTTAATTTTTGATCTACGCGACTACGTATTTTTCAATTCGAATTTTTCTTTTACTTTTAAACCGGAGAAATCGGAAATTTAACGTATCGCAGTACCTATACCTACCTATTATACCTATTATAATGTTAATTTATCGAAAAACCCAAACGTTTTCTTACGTAGAATTATACGTTATTTACTAACAAAATAGAAATTAAAAATTGACGCTGTTTTTTAGTCTGGGTACACGTCACGCAATATAACACAATTTTCAAATTCAAATTATTTCCCTGTTTGGCAACATCCTAAATGCGCGATTTACACGAGCGAACAAACCGCGGCGTTATAATGATAATAAAAACGTCAGCCGGTATTTTCAGAAAAAAGTAATTTTTTCTTTTCAACCAAAGCAGGTTTATATCAATAATTTTCTTCGTCCCAGAAAGAAAATATAAATCAAACCGACCCGTGAGCCTGCGCAAATCAATTCCCCGAAAGGCCGATCCATTTCTGTAGGTATAGGTGTTAAATTATTACCGACTGAACTGCATTACTACCATAAAAAAAGATAGGACCAGAATTACTTTTATTGTGATTTAATAAAAATAGTGATTAGTACAATAATGTTTTCAGCTCGGTTTTGAAAATTATTTTAAGTTCTACGAAGATACTATAACCGTTGCGATATCACCTGAGAAAATAAAGATCAATCAAATTCTGTTATTGTTGTATTACTCACGTGTACAACGAATATTGGGTATTGGATTTCAATTAAATTTTCACGTTTATATGAAAAACGTAAACAATTATTTTCGGAAAATTTGAAAATAGCCAGTTTATAGAGTTCTGAAAACCGAAAAGACCTCATAATCTAACCTGTAAAATTATTACAAATCTGTTTGGTCGAAAATTAAATTTTTTTTTCAGTTGTTTTTTTTCCTTGGCCTTTTTTTAGAGATCACCGTAGTACCAACACAGCAGGCACGCATAGCTTACTCTGAATAACACGACAAATAGTTGAAAAAATTCAACTGTTTCACCGTGTGGTGGTCAGATGCTTACTAAATATAGTCATTAGTGACATGAAATCGTATTTTATTTTATTCGATGGATATACAGGAATTTTCTAACCTTGTAACGTCCAGTCCGTGTTTCATACTACAATGCGCCTATATAATACCAATGTCGTGTAGTAGACGAGGTACCAATCGGTAAGTTTTGAACGCCTCCTTTGACAAAAGATAAATAGGTACCAAAAAAAAAAAAAAACCCTACGGGCGAGTCAATTCTTCGCACCGCCAGCTCTGATAAAAACAACGTGGTTATCATCGTGCACAGGTCCGCGCGCGCTAATCTTTGGCGGGCGCACGCGTACAAAACCGGTAGACAAAAATTTTTGAAAAATAAAAAACCGTCCCGACAGCCGGCATAGGTTGACATTGTTGAGAAATGAAAGTCATTCTCTTCGGTTGGTACTGAACGTCAACAATAATATAATATTACGGAAAAATAAATCACCTTTAACGCGGTTTTTTGATCCAAAGGTTCCACGCGAGGCTCGAGCGATAATATTATGATACAATATTATACAGCGGGTGTTAATTGTCATTAATAATTAACTAATTAAATAGCAAGTAAAATTAAAAATATGCGGTGTGGATTACGCTTACCACCGGTCAGTACGATTTTGTATAGCTTCTTGATTTTGCCGTCCATCGTGTGCAGGATTATTGCAGGAGCGATCGATTGCTAGCGTGAGCGATGATGGCGATAATAACAATAATAATAATATTATTATTAAAGTTGTTATTGCGTGAAACTGAGAGTTGGCCGATGCTGGACGACGACGACGACGGTAGTGAACAGCGGCGCGAGACCATGTGACTTTTGTGCGCGTCGTTCACTTGTTGTGGCCGTTCGCGGAGGAGGCCGTTCGCATGACGACAGAACGCCGGCAGCGCTGGCGAAACGGCTCGGACGGTTTTTCGACGGAATACATAGTTTAGGTAGGTGTAGGTATACACGCGCGTGCGACAAGAACCGGTGACGACGGTACAATAATAATAATTATACTACAATATACTTCTTCCTATTGTAATCGTATTGTGTTGTCGATGTGCGGTTTTTTTTTTCGCGGAAAGAAAAAAATAAAACGATAGGACGACGCTGCCCGGCGAGACCCGACCACGTTTGGCCGGCAGAGAAGTACTACTGGTGATTTTAGTGGCTGGTCTACCGGCTAGACCACAAATACTATAGACAAAATAAAAAAACTCGGTAATACAATATTGTAATAATGATGGGTAAATCGTACGATTTGCTGCACGAACGACGACCACACACTACCGTTTTCCAATTGCTGCTGCTGATCGGCAATCGGCGGTCGGTCACTATTGCAGCCACTGCCGCCGCCCGAGCTCCGCAGCGATTGTATATAGTGTTGCTACCGCTGCCCCGGCTTATCAAACGTCAATCGGTATTATCACTACGGACCCTACCGCCACTGCAGCCTGCTGCTGCTCCAAGTACCGCCGCCGTGGTTTGTTAGATAACATAAATTTAAAACGGTGAAAGTGAAACGACCAAACGAGAACGACAAAAAGCTGTATCAGTAACAATGATAGCGCCCCAAAATCGATAGTACGTTAAACGGTCTATTCGAACAATATGTCCAGGCCCCGTTGAAAAATAACCGGCAATCCTCGATTCACGGCTGGTGACTATCCAAACGCTCGTTAAATTTGCAGTCGTTGTATCTTCGCGGTTTTGTTGATACGCTTTCAAATTGGTCCTGATGGACAACACCAGAGAATTTATTACGCTACTGCAGAATGATTGCAAAACGGAATACTTTAGCGACTTTAATGAAGATACGGATGCAGATGACGATACTATGACAAGGGACGAGGACGATTTTGAATACTGCTGTACAGACAAATGTTTGTCGACATTCGATGATGAGTTCAAATCACGCCTGAAATCGGATCTATCCCAACTTAGTGCATCGGAAAAACACATTTATTTATTTGCAATGATCTCTATTAGCAAGGAGAAGAAGTCGTGTACGAAACCCAAGTCGAATTTTCAATTCAACTACACGGTTAAGGAATACGGCATAACTCGGTACGTGTGTAAGTCTGCATTTATGTCTCTGCATGATACAACACATGCCCATGTACGCACCTTGTGCAAAAAGATGTCTGAAAATAACTTAATACCCAAGGATAAACGTGGCAGACATGAAAAGCAACCAACTATATCCGAAGATATGAAAGAACAAGTAAAATCACACTTCTTTAAAATCCTGGAAACACCTACCGTAAGTAAATTATAAACTTGGTTACCTTCATTATGAATTATATGTGTTTAAAATATTGCCCTTATGTTCCATAGATTTTCAAGTGTGCTAAAAAAGCTTTTGGTGAACCAAATATTACCAAATTGTGGCTTGATTTCAAAAAGAATCATGGTTAGTATAATATAATGCAAAATAAACATATTCCTAGTATTTATAGGTAATCACTAATCACTAATCATGAAATTAATAATATTATCAAATTAATCTGTAGGTTTAAAAATAACAAAATAGATGTCCAGATGACTTAGGTCCAGGGAACTATTGATTACCTATTGTAAATATTAGTAACACCAAAAAAAAGTAATAATTCATTTTCAAAGCCAGAATATATCAGGTATCTTTGTCTTACATTTAGAGGGAGTCATGGTCAAATTTGTTGCCTATCTATCTAATGGGCAATGTAACAAAAATTATTTAACCGAACTAAACAACACTTACTATGCTTTCACAGGAGTATTTTTTGATGTATTTGTTACATAATTTTCTAATTTAAAGTTTGAAATACAAATAGATTATCTGACAAAAGTATATCAAAAAATCTCTATGAAGGCATAGTAAATGATTTTTAATTTGGTGAAATAATTTGTTTTGGGTATATTAGATCCTAAGTACTATTTAAAGTACAAAATGTATATATGCTATATTCCTAAATAAATAAACAGCTATCTAATGTTATTGTGACATCCTCTTAAATAACCCTAAATGTTGATTCAAAGTACTATAAGAAACTATTAGTTAATAATACTTGGAATGTTTGTTGACTATTAGGTGAGAGTTTATATTAATTAAGAATTTATAGAGATAAATTAATTTGTATTAAAGTTGAGTCAGTGTGAAACGTATCATTGCAACACAGATAGTATAACAAAAAAATAAAAAATATTGTTTTGAATGCAATATAACTTGATTAAAATATTCTGAACATTTTTGATTTCAGGTCATATAGCTCGTTCAACATACTCAAAATATATCCGTCAGTGTATAACTACAGAAACTTTAACAAAATTTATGTGCGCCAATGAAGCAAGAAATATTTTAAATCAAATGAACAAATTTTAATATAAATAAGTTAATTTAACATGATAATTTAATTTTTTTACTTTTTAATACATATTGTATAAAATATATAAATAGCTAGGTATAAATGGCATGATAGTGATTATTTGGCAATGAAGGACTAGACCGCTAAAAAACTATTGAATTTAGGGTGCTCAATTTGCTGTAAGAGTCATTATTTTGGAAAGGATAACATAAAATAAATAAATAACATACATTTTCCTTATTTTTAATTTGTTCACATACTATTAAGATTGAGTTTAATTGATTTAATTGATTTTAATTTTCTAAAGAAAAAAATTGATACTTTCCAAGATGAGTGTCCAATATATTAATAAATTACAGGTTAAGAAATAAATTGGTTGACCATGTAAATATAAAAATTATGTAATATACTTATTGGTGTTTTTAAATAATGGCAACAAAAAGCAAATCAAAACATGGATTAGTACTCAGAGTCTAATTATTTCTAGATTTGCCTCTTAACATTCTCCACCTAATCTACATTTTTTTATTGATAGAAAACTAAAATACATAATTATAAACAACAATATCATCACTTAGTTTAAGTCAAATTTTAGATTTAAAATTAATTAGCAAATATATATCACCTATTCTTAGTATTAATAATATCAATTTAAAAGTTATTATATGATAGGTTGTACATTGTTTAGATAATAAATTAAAATAATATGTTTTGTTTGTATTTTATTTCAAAAAATCAACCGAATTACATTTGTTTTGATATAAATTTTAGGAAGATAAAATACAATTAAAATGGCTTATTCGTAGATTGTATAATTTCCAAATAGTAGCATATTTTCCCTAATTTAATAATACTTTTGGATACATAATTTATATCTAAAATCATTCTATAGATGTATAAATTCTTCTACTGGCATTTATTATTCTTTAAAAATGTTTGCCACTATAACAATCTTCCTCCACTCTCCTCTGTTTTGAACTATCATTCTCCATTCTCATCCATGCTCTTATTTTGTTAAGATCTTTAATTATAAACCATCTCTTTCTAAGGTGCCCGTGAGGTCTCTTCTCCGTATGTTTCCATTGTAGTACCATTCTAAGTGTATCTCCCTCGTTTCTGTGAATTACATGACCAAGCCATTGTATTCGTTTGCCACTTACAAAGTTACTGACCGATGCAATTCCTTTTCTCTGCGCACTTGTTCTACTATCATAGATAGGGCCACAGATTTCTCTCTATATTTTATTCTCAAATGTTCTTAGTCTCTTTTATATGATGCTAGTGGTTATCTAGATTTCACAACCATGGGTCTTATCACCATATATAATCTTGTCTTTGTTTTCTTTGAGTAACATTTTGATTTCAGAAATTTACTAAGTGAATGAAGAAGAATAATGCCCTTTCTAACTTTGCCATTCTTATTATAATCTTTCTTGACCAATCATTCTTGACACTCAACATGGATCATAATATACTGGAATTCATTAACTTTCTCAAAGACTAAGTCTTCATCAGATCTTCAGATTTATAAATTATAACCAATTGAACAGATATATATATTATATTATTATGCATAATAAAACTTATTCACAAATAGTAAATTGTATTTTATAATTAAAAACTTTGACATCAGTCAGGATCATAATTTCAGATTTTTTCACATGATGCAAAACGAATATTTAAATAGTGCTGCTTTGATTATCTTTGTTGAAAATCAATATATCTAAATGCAGTTTTTTCAGCAGTAGTCTGTGAGAAAATCCCAATTTAATAGCATGCATTCAAAACAAAAACAAAATTGTATTGTTTAAGTTTTCAAAATAGCCATTTTTGGTAAAAAATTTTTAAACAATTTAAAAATAAAATTGACCAATTTAGAACAATAAGTTTAGCAAAAACAAAAAATAAGTCACATTTGATGAAATAAACTATCATTAAATATTATTCTCATGAAATCAAAATCTTTAATTTTAGATTCTAAGTGGAGCAAGAAATGTATTGGTTTTACAATAATGTTTATTTTGTTTATGTGAACACTTTCTAAATTATACAAAAAAATTGTGATGATGATTAAGATTGCATTTAATCTTTCTCAACTACAATATGCATCACTATTATAGTACAGTAACTTTTCTTTGCCAATTATTAAAAAATTATATAGGTTCATGTTTGTAGACTATAGAAAAAAGGATTTTTTTTTAATAAATGTATCAGCAAATTTGTTTTTTTACATTATAAATTTATTTCTAATTAAAGTTCTGCAACCTGTTTAATATTTTATTTTTATAAACACAAATAACTTAAACATTTTCAATTTTAACTCTAATATTATTTAATTTTAACACACCAATTATATCTTATTGTCATATTAGGTTAATGGTATTTTAAGAGCCATTAAGTTTTTTAACAAACATAAATATAGGCAGGATAATTTTACAAAATAAAGACATTTAGGAAAAAAAATACATACTTTTAAATAAATTTATTTTACCCGTATTTTTATTCTAACAACCAAAAATGCTATAATTGTATTGTATTATAATATTATTATTACTATAAATAGTATCTTATATGTTTAATTAAATTGCTTAAAATGGAAGATAGTCAAAATTACACAACTATATTAGTAAGTTGGTGTTAGAACACTTAAAAAGCTCTTAAGAACCATTTCTATAATAGTGTTTGAGTGAATTATTACAGCCAAATTACTTAACAAGTATTGCAAAGTTAAGGGAAAAGGGTCAACAAGGCATTATAATAATTATATATAATATAATAATATGCAAACAATCATTGTGAGTCAGTGTACCTATATTAGTTTACATCTACAAATAAGGTATATGTATCCTGACCAACTTATTAAATTTTTGGTAACTTTGGTCTTACAACTAATGGGTTGTTCTTTTCAATAGAATCGCGACCATTTTTTTGATAATCATAGGAGCAATTGTGCGATTCTGAATACCTAAAACAAAAAACATCAAATATTCTATTATCATATTATATTGTAATTTGTTACAAAAGTATTAAAGATATAATATCCTTAGAAATTATATCAACTCAACTCAATAAACCATTTTACTTAGAATAAAAAGTAACATAGTTAATAATAAGTTATACTTCATAAAAATCATGATTTGTTTTTCACATAATAACGTTGATTTATATAAATAAATAATTTTAATGTTAAACAAGGACGGACATACTTTGCACGTGGGTAAAGATTAAAATAATAAAAACTTAATAACAAAAAATAAATAAAAACAGTTGCTAATGACAACCTTAATTTTAATCTTTCATCAATCTTTTTAACCTAAAGAAACAGGTTTTCCTCATTCAAATATTAATTAGAATTTCAAAAAATACCTTTCTAAAGTACCACCCAGAGAACATTTCCTTCCAGAAGAGGTGCAATACTTGATAATCAGAGTAAACTTTCTGGTAGAAAGTGTTCACATAAAAAAAAAAATTAATAAATAAGCATCATTATAAAACCAGTACATTCCTCGCTCCGCCCAGAATCTAAAAAATAGTAAACGCATAGTCAAACCATAGATGAATTTTTTGCACTAGTGGCAATAATTTGTTTTCGATTTTATAAAATCTAAATGATTAAAATCAATCATTGATATGAAGATGAACCAATACATACTGTTATTAGCTATATTGTGTATAAATTAATTTTTTTAAACTATTAAAAAAAAAACAGTTTTTAGCTGAATCTAATACTTAATGCATAAAATGTATGTGTATTACATAATTTCTCCATTAACATTAAAAGTGGATCCTTATTATATCAAATATAAAATGTGTGATTTATAAAAGTAATAAGTAATAAACTCACCTATGTTCTGGACAAAATGTGAGTCCACATCGACATGTATACTGAGCACTAATAGTTAGTTTTTTATTGCATTGGGCACAACGTTTTTTCTTTTTCTCTACAACTTGATCAGCAGGAGTTTGATTAAGATCCTCAGTTACAATATTTGGAGCTTTTTTTTCAGCTCTATTACTTTCTGATTCCATTGGTTCTTCGCCACCTTCATCACCATCAAGTTGAATGGGGGGCATATCTGTTCTATTTAGTATCCTATGTATAGCTCCCAAATCAGTGTTATTGGATAGAGACATGGCGGTCATTTGTTCAGTCGGTGATGCTTGTCTAGAGACATTGATATGAATGTTGTGAGATAACACCAATGATGAACTGCTAGGACGTCTAGACCAATCTGTACTGGATACTTCAATATCTGTACCAGATTCTGAAATACTGAAATTAATTATTAAAAAAATAAAAAAATTGTTTAATAAGATGATTAGAATAAATTATATCTATTCATAATTAAGTAGTAATACCAGTTAAACTTATATATATACTTTTAAAAAAAGATAATTTTAAGATATCAGTTTTATCACAAAACTAATTGATTAAACGGAAATTGTTCAAAAATATAACAGTTAAACTAAGAATCAAATTTAAGTCTATATTTATTTTACCAATTTCCTCACTTATTTATAAAGAAATATTTATCCATGGTAAAGGAGTCCAATTAATTTTGATTACAATTTCACAAAATGATAATATAATTACAATACATGACATTATAGGATAAATTATATACTTCATTAGTCTCAAAATTTTAAGAACTTAAATAGATTTGAAAACTATAAGTTATTAATAAACATCTACAAAATAAATTATAATATTACATTATAATTGTATCTGTTACGCGTTTTTAACCAGCACACAAAGAACATATGTTAATAATAAATGTAATGAAGTCACATTGCCAAACAAATAATTTTAAGATGATTTATATTTGAACTACAATAAATATTCGGGTAATTGAATCATACTTGAATAATAATTAATTAATTGTATAAAATATGTCTATGAAAAGCTCAACAAATTAAATTTAAAAAATTAATAATTATAATGACTTTTATAGGTACTAAATTTTAATTGAATAATTATACCAGTATTTTTAAATAATAATATTCCCTAAAAAAATCATAAAATTCTAAAACTTAATATTATGTTTTAAATTTGTAACATATAATAACTAACCTGTCAATGCTTGAAGTACTACCAGTATGTCTAGGGTCATTCATAATATGGCAAAGTTGTCTAGCTGTAGTTGATTTTGCATTCTTCTCAGAGCATGCACTTGTTATTGTTGGCAAAACTGGTATTCTTGAAAATTCTGCACTACGAACATACTTTCCCAAAACAGGAGATGATTGAACAATTTTTGGTAATCTCCAAGTATGCCGTTTGTTATTATCCTTTTCAGTCTTCATTTGTGATTTTTCAGGCGCTGAAGCTGATTTGCGATGTTCAGATTTTGTTCTTTTTAACTGAAATATTTTAAAATTTATTTTGAAAATAAAATAATGTTTAGATAAAATAAACACAAATGCAATGATACCTAATTTTGATTATTTATAATTCCTTAGCAAAATTTATTGTGGTCAGTTATATATTTTATATTCAAACACTATAATAAAAATGATCATAAATCACATTATTCATTCTTAAGAAAAAAAAAATGTATTTTATTAGATGTACAATAATTTATTATGCAATAAAACCTATTAGATTAGGTAGTCATAAATAATTAGAGCATGAGAAAAAATATTCTTGAAACTTTCCCTTAATTTTTAACTCGTAAGGACGCTAACAAATTAATTATTTTATATTTTTAATACTAATACAGAATCAACCATTAACAGTCCAACTTTTTAAATATATTAACTTATTTGAAAATTATCTGTTTTAATCATTAAAGATGAATGTAATTTTACAATTTTATATAGCTGAAAAACTGTGAAGTACTTCTAATTATTTTAGAATATTGGTAAAAAAACAAAACTATTTTGCATTGATCCTAAAAAAACTTATATTATTCAATTCTTTAAAAGAAACAAAAAAAAAATTATTTTATTGCACAAAAAAGCGTTAGTGTAATACAACGAGGGAAAGATTACAATATTCAGTTCTTTTTTTCAGTTAATTGCCTATTTTGTTTAAAATTTAAAATTTTATTCTTTTGTTGTTTAATCTCATTCTTTTTACTCATCATATGTTTAAGCATCTAATGTATTAATCATTAACTAACTGTATTCAAAATATTGAGTATATAACTCATAATATAATACTTATCAATAGGGTTCGGAAGTTATAGGAGTCACATATTTTTCTGTATGCACTGGGTTTATATATAATAGACCAAGCTAAAAATTATTTTTAAACAATAAAAAGAGAATTTAAAAAGCATATATTGCATATTCGTTATTTTTAGAGAAAAAGTGCATATTTCATTGATATTTGCATTTTAATATTTGCTAAAAATCGATTTTTTGTTTCTTTCATAACAAATATATTTTAAATAATATTACATATTAAACACAATATTATTTAACGTAGTTATTTATTGTTATTTCTTATCGTCTCAGTCTATAATTAATTTAATGACAACAGTTCGATTCACATTTAATCTTTATTTTATTTTAGCATATTAATAATGGCATTATATGTTATTGAATAATAAAATTAAAAATAATTTTTTGCATATTAACATTTTTTCATGTATATTTTGCCCTTTTTAGCTCCTATAACTTCCAGCCCTACTCATAAAGTATACAAATTAATATATATTTTGGTCAACTTGACTAAAGTAAATGTTCTATTACTTATTATTAGGGCAGTGAATTTTTAGGAAAGTGCATTTTTTTTAGCTGAATATGAAACATTGATTTCTATATACATAATTTGAATTATGTAAAACAAACAACACATTTATTGATGAAATTTTTATTTTGCATTTTTTGATATTTTTAATCTTTAAGGTCATTTTTTGGACTTTTTAGTTTATTTTCCAGTATTTTTAATCAAATTTTGTCAATTAACATCATTAACCACACATAATTTATTTTACACAGACTGTGTTTACGTCAAATTTGTATTTTATAAAATAATACTTTACACAAGCTATATACAGATTAGGTAAAAATAAGGATTCAACAAAATAAGGCAATAAGCTTAGATTAGTTATTTGTGTGTGGGCTTGTGATATATTGATATCAATAATATTAGTAATATCAAAATATAAAAATTAACTTAAATACCATTTTAAGTGCATATTCTTTAAAACTTTATTTTATTGTATTTTTAAGGTTTTTCACTGCATTAAATTCACAGTCCTATTTATTATTATATATTTTGAAAGAAATGATAAAACACTGGTTTCAATAAATATTCTACACTAGCATTTAAACTGTTTTTGTAGATTGGCATTAGAAAATTTAAATGGCTAAACCTACATTTGAGAATTTGAATTATTATGCTTATAAAACAATTTTAATAAAATTAATTCAAACTTATAAAGTTAAAAGCAAATATCATTGAAAAAATGAATTAGTTATACAATTAATTATAATAATTATTTACTTTAGATTTTGATGAAATAGAAAGAGTTTCTAATTTATGTTTCAACTGCATCATCTTACGATATGTCACATTATTTTCAACAGTTTGTTTAGATTTTTTCTTTTCTGGAAGTTCTATTGTAGAAATAATTTTTCTAGACAAAGTATTTATTTTTAAAATTTATATTATTAATAAATTATTATATAAATCCACATACTTTGGGGTGTCCTTTAAATTTGTTGTAGAACCATCACTATTTTCAATAACTCTGAGTACGTTGATTACTTCGCCTTCGCGAAATATCAAGACTGCAAATTTATGGCCTGGAGGAGCATCCTCAAATATTTCTTTTCTGTAAAATTAACAACAATATTTATATACAACATAGACATTTTTTTTTTTTTTAACTATATATTTGAAAGTTAGTACCTCAGTATTAATAAGAGTTAATTAGTGCATCAAAATTACTGCATAATTAAAATGTACTAACTTTAATAAAATTTAGAATTTTATTAAATACAAATCATAATCAATGAACGAATAACTTTACAATCAAATTAAGTAGATATTATTATATTTATTTTAGACACAAATAATTAGAATGAAATTACACTAACTTATTAAGATTAACCAATTGTCTAATGGTTTCATTGTCCAGGGGCAACATTCTACGACTTGTGCCAATAGGTCCACCTTGTAGGGACAATACCAAACGTAGTGTTGCACCATCCTGAAGATTATTACTAGCTATAGTTGTATTGTCAGACAAGATTTTTTCACCTAAGAGTAAATATTGTTGGCTGACAGGTATACCTAAAAAATAAATATTTTATTAAAAATAATGTTAATATTAAATACATGAATATGAAACTATAAATTAATTAAAATAGAAACCAACCTTCAACACGCTGTATCCGTGATTTTAATGAACTTATATAGTCAGCTGGAGAAACAGTGATTTCAAAAGCTGTTCCAGTCAATGTTTCAATAGTAAGGGATATGGGCGAGTCATCTAATTGGTCGTCTTCAGAATTTGATCTCCACTTTTGCTTACGTGACATACCTGGGTGAATTGACCAAGTACGTCGTTGCACTAATGGTATAGTTGTTTGTAAAACATTATAACATCATATCAATAAAAACAGTCAACACCTGGAAAAACGTAATTCATGGTAACAATGACATCATCCTCACTATAAATGGTGCAACAAAATATATTCGCTATCAGTTATTGAGACTAAAGCTTAAAAATATATAAAACCATTATTATTATTTATGTTTAGATTGTATGTGACCTTAGACCTCTGTCCCATTATAGAAGCTATCGAGGTAGATACCTATTTTGTTTGGGTTTGCATTAAGTAAGTACACTAGGTACCATTTTGAACGAATTTATTAAAACAACAACTTACTTTTTGTCGTCTCTGTAAACAGTTTTTACTCGTTAACTCTTGTGGCGTGCGATTGTGTATTTAAACAATCTCTCAGTGGTTGTTGTCTGTACGTCGACCTATGGCCCAATGATGTAGTAACAAACAATAGAGTGGCGCATACTAGTGAACCAAAGTGTGAACGACTTATATTGATACGGAAATGTAATTCTGCCGTAGGTGATCGAACTAATGATAATAATGTATTATTTTCTTTATTGTTTTTTTTTCCTTCAAATACAATTAGTTGTAACCAATAGTAAATACATAAAAAAAAAAAAAAACGATAAAACCACCGCCGACAAGGACGTCGTGTGCCGGAGTAGATGTGTCGGAGAAGAAGAGAAAACGTCGGCGAAGGCGGCGGTGGAGAGGTACGATGTGCAGAGGTGGTGGTGGGAGGGGCCGGAACGGAAGTGTTATAGAGAGATAATAAATTATGGTAAAAATAAAATAAAAACGACAATAGTCGATGACACACGACCGGCTGACTGCCCGAAATGGGAGTTAGGATGTATAACGCCATATCAATATTCGATGTTTTTTGTTTTTTTATGAGCTTAACTTGGCTACGCTATCGTTGAAAGGAAAAGACGCCGATTTTTCCGTCAACTCGTTTAGTAAATTTCTGCAATATTTATACCAAGAAACATTTTTACATTGAACTCAATTCCGAATTGAAACCCGACATGAATGAAGATGAGCGTTTCAAAAACCGGAGTAATACACGATCGCAAATCGAGTGGAATATTATTTACCTAAATATTATGTATTTTCTATTTTTATGTGATTTGATTTAAGATTATTTCGCGGCTAGGTCGTGACACATTTCGACCAACATAAATAACCATTGGTTACACTGTAAACAATAATTACTTCCGCACGTAAAATGGCGCGCTCGTTCGCTCTTTCATACGTACCCTTATAACTATTAATCACGATAATATAATATCTTAATAACGTTTTGTTATTAACAAAATGAGAATATCTTTATTCGTTTATTTTTAATTTAAGTACTACTTATTTATGTTATAGCCGTTTTTGTAACAAAAAAGAAATTAATTATAAGATTATAATTATTATATTATTCTTATAAACAAACTTAAAACTTGGTAAATACAAATAATATTATGCTAATATTATAGCGCATTTTCCTTATACCTACTAAATATTCGATTTTGTTTTGTATAAGTTCAACGATTATTTTTAAAAACATGTCGAGTTAAATAGTCTGCTCCATAATTCGGCAATAAAAATATCACGAATATTTTCACATTGAAGTGATCAATTGCGAGTGGCAAATTTGCAACATTACATGAACGTTGAACGTTTAAAAAATGAAGGAATACACGAACCCAAAAATGTACTCAAATATTCTATTAAATATTTATTAATTTCTATGTGATTTGAGCTTTGAGCATTTCGATCAATTATAAAAACCGTTGATTACAAATTGGTATAGTGTATGTTATATTTTAATATTCGATTTTGTTTTGTATGAATTAAATATCAAAATATTATTATTATTATTTATGAAAATGTGTAGAGTTCAATATTTTGTATTTTATTTTTACGTTCAATAGTTATATTAGCTTTTAATATTTTGTTGAAATTATTCTCCCGATTTCCTTCAACGTGACTATTACTAAAAAGTAAATTATATTACTTACCTCACTTTCGAGTGATTTCTGTTATTATTTATTATTTGCACTACCCTAATTCTAGGTTATTTGACCGTACGTTAACATTTCTTAGTTTCCTACCTCAACAAATAATTAATCTCAGGTTCTTAAATATTTATAAATGAATTAACTGTTTGTTCGTTGTACCTTCTACGATAGTTATTTATGTTCTATACATTAAATAACCGTGGGTACCTTCCAGTCTTAGGTTTCAATCCTTCAATATTTTAATATCAAATTAAAGTCACTGAGATCCAAGTCTAACCTGACATAACCAAAATGGCAAAATGTAATTAATTAATACAATTATTAAGTCAAACCTATATCGCGATTTATTGTACGATTGTGAGAAAGTATAACTAATTTAATTTAACTATACACAACATAAATTCATAATCAAAGCTCGTAAGTTCGTGTACTAAAAAATGTATAAAAAATATGCGCTTAAAAGTCAATAATACTAATTATTTGTGCACTAAATTTCTAAAAATTTGATAAAAAAGAGAAAATTATTTTTCTCTTAAAAAAAATTTAGTTAAATGAAAAATTAATTTTAGTTGTAATTTATTTATTTTGATTTTAATAATTATGAATTATAATTATTTTACTTGTCTTTAAATATTTCCTTTATTTAACCTAAACTTGCCTAACCAAACTCAATATTTATGCACGCTTATCCTGTATTTATAACCGAATTACAGCAAAAAACTCCAAAAATTAAAATTCCTTAAAAGCTCAAAAGTGGTTCAAAAGTTTTGGCGATAATATCATAAGAAAGTAAATCAAATATGGAACAAAAAAGGTGCCTTGTGATTTTTCGATTAAATCATTTTTTCTGGTAGAAAACGTAGTCCATTTTTTGTATAAAATAATGAAATCGTGAAATTGTACGTTTTCCTATGTTTTTTCCACTTAACTCCTTTTATTTGAAAAATGGCGTTAAACATCAAAATGACCTCTCTCATCTAGACAACATGAGCTTTCAGAAAAGTTGCTACACATAAATATCGGAGTAAGTTTTCTAGGAAAAACGTGTTCACACACTAGAAAAAAGAAGAAAAAAAAATAAACACCTTAGTAAAACCAATAGCTCCCTTGCTACGCTCAAAATCTAAAAATAAACATCTTTGTAGAACCATAAGCTTCTTCTCTCTATTCAAAATCTAAAATGTACCTATAATATACTATATTTTTATCAGTGCAAAGCCAAATATTAATATTCAGAATAATAATATAATATTATACTATAGTTTAGGTATATTATTATAATATTATTTTTTGTGTATTCAAATAATTTGTACTGACAAAAATACAATGTAAATTTTATAGGTTTGAGTTCTTATGAGTTCTATCTACAGTCCGTTATCTTTTTTATCAATAAATTTACCACAGCCAAACACACAGAAGGTATCGCGCGGAAAACCATTTTATTTTTAGAATTGGTGGGTGCTTTGCTCGATTATGGTAATATTGCAGGGTGGGAGGAACCGATCACCACTGCAGTCGAACGACTATATTACAGGGCGTAATATGATTTTCCTTGTTTAATTAGTTAAGATTTAAATGTACAATAACCTTTTTTCAAGAGTTTATAACAATTATTAATTTACCTTCCTCACCTGTAAAAATTGACTTCGGCACCACTGCTCGGCTATGATTATAGGGTGGAAAACATTACACCACGTGTATTCAAGTTCGTTGTTATGAAAATAAAATATATTGATTGATTGATGCCAATATCAGGGCAAGTATAGTGCAGGTAGACATAACATTGATTTTATGGTATTGCCAAAACTCATAAAACCCATAAGGTCATGTAAGGTACAAAAATAAACCATAACAAATACTAATATTTTGTAAATGTGTTCGGGAAAATAAATAAGAATTTCCTCAATTTATATGGAATATGTGCTAATAACTCCGAAAATTCTGTTATAATATGCCAATTAACCTAAAATACCCAAAATAAATAAAAACATGCGATATTTTAAGTTGTATTTTAATTAGTTTCGTTATGAAACAGATTTGTACATCACTTAGCATTTTTTCCTGTGTAACAAAAAAAAAAAAAACATGTAAATTCATGAACTTTCGAGCGCTATGCATAACAATGCTACAAAAATCGAGGTACGATAACGAATTATGAGTATTATTAGTTACCTATAAATATAAAGCAATTACCGACCTCGGTTTGTAAAGTTTGTGTTGAGAAAACGAGTGCTTGTATTCTAACTTAATGATGGCGTATTGTAATGTCTGTCCCTTCCACCGAAAATCGATACGACCAATACCATTAGCCAGTTACCACAGTAACTAGGTACCAACCTACCTAGCTACCTATATTATAGGTTTATAAATATTAAATATGTCTTTAGTACCTAATCCATCAATAGCATACACCCGATATGGTAGTAAGGCGCAATCGTTATTTTGCAAAATCGGTTAATATAATTCTGTATTTTATAACATATTAATTTTCTTATGGAGAGGTGGGGGGAAGAGGATTAGGATGAAAGTTCGGATGTTATTGAATTTGTAATTATTATTCTACTGATAGGTACCAGCAAAAATCTATCTGAAAAAGCACAGCATCTCAAAGCATGTTTAACCTTCGCTCAGAATCTTATTTTGTTAGCAATGATACAAATTAAATACCTAACTCTTTGTATCTTACCTTCCTGAATCCCAAATTCAGACCTTCGACAGTGGCACGTCACCCATCAGCAATATCAGTATTGTACCTTTCGAACCATTTCACAATAATATGTAAAATGTAACAATAATTATTTTATTGGTATCCCGTTGATTATTAATTTAGTTAACAAGTACAGATCACAAATATAGAAGATAGAAGATACAGTCTGTTGTACTGTCGTACAGAATATGATTTGCGACCTCTGTACCAAACTCAACTCAAATGCGACAACTCCAATCTAAAGTAATTTGTATTCAGCCGGTACCGTCATTGGACTTTCTGCACGATCGCATCACGTTGCGGATTGCGGTAGGACGAGATTTGTTGCAATAGTGTGGCACCTCTGTTTAGAAACGTTTCATTTTGGATGAGTTTTGCTTTCAGTTCTGTCATTCACGGTAAACATAATATTAAAAGGTGCCTATTTACCTTACAGCAAGTGTTTTAGTATAGAGACGTTTATATTGCTGTCCGAAAAATTTAATATTACAAAGTTATCTAATACCTATATACCTACCTACTAAATAACACCTTTGAATGTGCGCGATCGCCTATGAACGCGGCTCAGTATTTCCTGTATAACGAACCCTTTTATACATTTGTATAAACTCGTATTTATAACAAATTGTTAGATAATCGTTTGGTTAATTGCTTTATTTGAAAAAGTAATATAAATTTATATTTGACTTTGTTCTTGTATTATTCTGTAGGTATATATAAAAAGGAAGGGAAATATTGTTTAAAATTTTATTAACACGCATATTTCAAAAATAATAATGAAACATGTACTTTAAAACAATGAATAAAATTATTAATTGTATTCAATGAATTAAAATATAATACGAATAATTACATAATTTTGGCGATTCATACCCACCGAAGTAATAATATTATATTATGTGAGGTATCAATTACCTGTTACACTCGGTGATTTTTCCTACAGGAGATTTATAACCCCCCCCCCCCGACGTAATAAAAATAGTGGTTATAAATCGCCTGTTATAAATTATAAACTATAAATTTCCCCTTAAAAATAATACCGGTGTAAAATAAACAAATTCGTTGGTGACTATACCTGTTCAAAATCTTTGCTATACCGGTATTGTTGTTCTCGCGACATGGATCAAATATTTTATGCCGGTATAATCCCCTCCTTTCTTAATGTTTCCATCACGACTTTTTTCGTATTCTTATCAAATTATCATGACATTTATGATTGAATTATTATCTACATTTTTTTTTCACATCTAGAAATTCGTTGGTACAAACCAGTGTACCGATTATTTTACACCAGTATAGTTATTCGACGATGGAAATCGGTGTATCCCCACAATTGTCCAAAATTAACAATGATAATACTATTAATTATATATTAATCAATTACCTATTTAAATTATTAATGTATTACCTATAGGCTATACTATACTTCCCGTTTCCCACTAATAAGTAATTAATAAAAATGAACTTGAATGGGTATTAATTTTTATCAATTAAATTATTATTATTATAATTTATCTGTTCGTTTATAATTTTGAGGGGGAAATGAGATGGGATGAAACCTGTGTAAATTGTTTGCACCATATGCATATGATGGTGCAGAAAAATTAAACCGATGTTGTTAATTTTAACACCGATTACTCCAAAAAATTGTTCAAATTCACACCGGTTTGATTTTCAAGGGGAAATGTACACCGATATGCACCAACGAATTTCTTATATGTGTTAAGTATTGTGTAAACTATAGTATTTTGTATGTGATAACAAAACAGTATAGACCACGGTTTAAGGTATATCTGAAATCGTGGTATGGACTACAGAATGTTTTTTTTATCATGAACCAGCAATTATCTCAAACGATTCAAATCTGTGTTCAATAGGGAGGTTTCTATTTAAAAATCAAAAGTATGCACTTATTTAAGGTATATGGAGTGGATCGCTTGAACGGGAGTTTTCATATTGTCATACGTGGCGTCATTGTATCAACGCGTTCGCGGCTTCGCGCCCTTTAGTCTTTTAGTACTTATCAGACAATATAGACAAGGCCGTGCCGCGGTTTTTATTGATATGGTCGACAAGGGACGTTGGTGGATATTCAAAATATGTGCCATCTGCGTATTGTGTTCGTGTTTCGTACTTTTTGTAGTTTTTCCTGAGGTAAATAACTCTATGTATTCAAATTCTTCGGTATTCCGAGAGCCCGAAAGACTTCTTTGTTTTTAATGTTATTAGCATTAGTAGATACGCAGTATTAAGTACTTTTTAGGACTGTTGTTAATGCAATTTTTTGGTTTTTAGTATTTTAAGTATATAAAATGTCTGTTACTATGGTCATTAATACACCATCAACGTCTAGTAATACACGTGAAGCCAAAAAACGAAAATTGGACAAAATGATTGATGGATCAATTGTCAAACTAATGTTGAAAAACTTCATGTGAGTATAATATTGAATATATTTTAAAAATATTTTTTATTTTATAACTATTTTAATGTTTAATATAAATAGTTTCGGTAATATGATTAATCAAATTATCTGTTCATAATAATAGTATTTGTCAAAATAAATTATAAATAAAAAAAAAAAAATTGGCAAATTTTAATGATTAGTTCGAAAACATTCCACTTTAGATCTTGTAAACAAATGCCTCTATTATATATTTATCATCAAACCGATTTGAACCATCAGCATATAACTGTGGGTCTATACCAGTAAATCCAACATCGAAATCATTCAACATAGTCAACATATTGCCTTTTGTACCATTGTAGTAGCATATCGGACATCATCCACAGCGATCTGAAGATATCATCTATCCAGAATAAAATCAAGAGGTTTACCAACAAACATTCAAATAGACTTCGTAGTGCTGCTAAACAATTTTTCAACAATTTACAAGATATGCACATCAATTGATGACTTTTAGTTTAAGTGACTTGGACGAAGGATCAAAGATACTCCATTGAAAGTATTACCCCAATATGTTTATGTATACATATATATTTACAAGTATATTTACTATCTACTCATAAATGATGTATTATTTATACACTCATCTTAATTTATATTAATAAAGGCTATTGGTCATTTAAATAAAGATGCCTCATGCATTTAATGAGAGAAAATAATATTATGTTGAATATATTGACAGATCTGTGCACAAACCTCATATTTTGAATAATTAATTTTTTCAGGAAACCAAAAAGTGGTAAACGTTAATCAAATTTTAATAATATATGAAATTAGTTGTGGTATGTAAAAAGAATGCTGGTAATCGAGCTTAGTAGAAATGGGGGATTTGGGTGGTAGATAATATTTGGGAATAAAGTGAAGGAAGAAGAAACAAAAAATATGAAATTTGAGTTTACTATGCTACTACTACTACTACTATACTACTATACTACTAATATTATGAATATGTATTTAATAGATGTAATGTATATAGATTATTACTGTCAATTAAGAACACTTATGTAGTGTTTTAATTTTCGATAATTTTTATATGTTGTTCTATTAATTAGATTGTTCTTTAGAGTAAGTACAATCTAAGTTTTATATAATTCTTTAAGTTTTTATATATCTGCTATATGTTTTAACTAATAAATGGTCAAACAAATGCATTATTTATTTTGATCATACATTTTAGATATTTAGGATGATTTTTGTATAATTGTTTAATTTAATGTAGAACTTAATTACCTACATTTATATTAAGTATTTATCTATTTATATGTATTTAATGTTTATAAATATATAAATTAGATATTAATAAATGCAAATAATCTATAGTTAGTTTATTTTAAAACATTTCTTAGCTTAAAATATATTTGTGTTCTGCTTCTCTAATTTAATACTAATTAATTAATTTTTGTATAGGACTTTTAGCGAAGTTACATATACTCCAAATTCAAAATTAAATTTAGTAATTGGACCCAATGGATCTGGAAAATCGTCAATCGTAACTGCATTCATGTTAGGTTTTGGTGGTAGCCCTAAAGACATTAACAGAGGAGAAAAAGTAAATATAATTGTACTAATAAAATAGTATTTCAGATCATTAAATTACATTATTTTTCTTATAATGCTTATTGTCTATATTAATATGTTTTGTTTTCTTTTGTGATGTAGGTGAGCCAGTTTGTAAAAATAGGGGCATCTGTAGCAGATATTTTTATAGAACTTTATAGACATTCCAATTCAAATATTAATTTAAGACGAACAATATTTGTTGGTAATGAAACTTGTCACTATTATATTAATAATGTCATGGTTTCAAAAAAAAAGGTGAAGAATAGTATTTAATACTATCCATATTGTTTATTTTAAAATTGATTGGTATTATATTGTATATTTGATATATTTATAGTACATTGATCTAGTAGAAAGTTTAAATATACGAGTACATAACTTGTGTCAGTTTTTACCTCAAGATAGACTAGAAGATTTTTCTAAATTAGACTCTAAAGGTTTATTATTAAGTGCTTTCCAAAGTATTGGTAAGTATAGCATGGCTTTGATTATTAAATTTAGTATTGTTTAATATGAAATTAATCTCAATTGCAGAAGATCAAGAATTGTTAAACAATTTTAATAAATTAAAAGAACTTGCTATTAATGTGTCTGTATCAGATGCCGACTTAAAGAAATTACAACATAAAATTGAAATAGAAACTGCTACTAATTCAAAGTAAGCATTTATTTTATAAACTGAATAATAAGTATTAAATAATATGTATTCTTTAGATTGGAAACAATAGTCAGCTCATTTACAGAAAAAGAATTATTAGAAGACCGATTATTGGCTATTGTACAAAAGAGATGTTGGTCTTTATATATATTAACTTGGAACCAAATTAAAATAGTATGTATATTATACTTCATGTTATGCTGTTGAAAGTGTGACAGTTTGATTCTTATAGGAATCTCACTTGTTAGTTTAGTACAACAAATTATTAAGAAAACTTTAGAAATATGTGTAGAAATTAATTTTTAATAAAATTAAAAACTGATCTCTCTTTTATGTAAATTAAGAGAATTATGTCAAGACCACTATCATTTCATTATTATTTATCTTATTTTTTCTTGATTCTCTAAATTTCTTCAAGATTTTAATTGAAAATCGATAAAATTTTTAAAAATTAGAGCAGAAAAGTCTCAAAACAAACTAAACATTTTGAAAAATAATCATAATTGTAAAATTAGTTTTTATGTACTGATACTTCACTATTTGTAGTTATAATTATAATGTCTTCTATATATTATTATTAATAATTTGTTTTTTAAAAAAATATTAGTTTGTCACATTAACTATGTCATTTGAGTGACACATTCTTTTAATATTTTATTTTTATTTGAATACATTTGATTAAAAAAAAAAAAAAAATACCTAGTTAAAACCAATACATTCCTTACTATGCTCAGAATTTAAAATAAAATATTTATTCAATGTATTGATTATTTATAACTACTGATTAAGAAATTTAATATAATGTACTAGTTTAACCGGCAAATGTTGTTTTGCTCGTAAACAATTGTGTATTTATGGCATGAGAGTATTCAGCCATTCTTAGTTAAATGTTCTGCTGTCAATACACAACAATAATGGATTGTTGAAAATAATTAATTAATGAAAGCTGACATTTTAAAATTATATTAAAAAGCTAAACAAACTCTTTTTATGAGATTCAATGTCGATTCTTTTGATCTGTACCATAATTAAAATCATTAAATATTGAAATTACCCATAAGTACATTCTTGGATTTTGTTGAAATAAATACAAATTAGATTATATGTGAACTATAATTGAAGGATCTGAGAAAAAAACACGATAAGTTTATTTTTGGTTATTAGACACATTTTATTAGTTTCATTATGTACTATTAAATGGTAATAATACCAATTGAGTAAAACATGAATAGTTCAGCAAAGAAATAGAACTAGTAATGTTCTCGTAATTTAAAATTTGTGACTTTCTGTTCTTTTCCTGAGCTCCTTAAATGTGTTATATTATTTATTTAAAATTGATATTTTTAAAAATAAAGTGATTGTATGATTTTTATCTGGATACTTTTTTTCTCAAGGAAAAAAGAAAATTTAACGATGCAAATACAAATAATGAATTAGCTCTGAGTATTATTTATAAGCAAAAACAACTTATCGATACTAAGGAAACTGAAAATAACAATTGGAAATCAATTGTTTTGGAACAAGTAACTTATTAAAAATTAATTAAGCAAAATGAATATTAATAAAATAATTATTTTTACATTTAACATAAATCAATTATTTTGTTTAGTTTAATATTGGATGTAAGTTATTAGAAAAAATAAATGGCTACGTTAGAACTGCAAATGATTCGGTGAATGATATTAAAGAAATACACAAATCATCTAAACAGACTAAAGAAAGAATTGAAGATTATAGAGAATCTATATTATCTATGGAAGAAAAGTTAGAAAGTATAAGAAAGGAAACACTAAATGTTGAAGGTAAAATTAAAAATATTTAAGTACATCAAATTATAATATAACTGATTGTAAACAGAATTTATCTTTATATTAAATTTAAATTTGTATAGAGTATAAACAGGAACTTGTTCAAATCAATAAAAAAATAGTAAGCATTGATGAAAAACTTGATCCTATGAAAAGAAATTTAGAGGATGTTAGAAACAAATTGAAAGGTGTAACTAATAAAGTATATGGTTAGTATTTTAAATATCAAACTCATATTTTTCTAATACGTATGTTATATTTTTTGTATTTAATACACTTTTTTTATAAATAAAGCAATTGATCAAGAACTTGAACGAGAGAAACGAAAAGAAGATGGTAAAAATCAGTTATTGCAAAGAAATTTTCCAGAAATTTGGAAAGCTATCAGTTGGTTAAGGAAATGTGACAAAAAGTCAATTTTTGTTGGTCAAGTTTTTGAACCTTTATTTACCCAGGTATTATAAAATAACAAAGTAAAAAAAAGTGGTAATGTTTATGAGTAGGCTACTCATTGTAGTTGAAAGAATAGGATATACAGGATAATTTAGTATATATGTTACATCCTATCTGGTGAACTGCTAATATTAATAAATATTGCAAATAAAGTACTACCAGATAGAAATGTTGTTTCTATTTATTTACTTTAGAAAAAATTGGAATATTTGTCTAACCAAAAAGGTTTATGTAAAAAAAAATCGAAAACTCATTTTTTGGAGAAATATTGAGAATTTCAAAAATGTTTTAATTAAAGTAAACAATTTATTAGGAAAATTCATATTTTTAATAGTATGTTGAGATGTTACAAACCCTGATTTTTAAGGTCGAACCAAACTTTTCTTAAAATTAATGAACCCGAACCAAACCGAACTTTAAAAATATTTTATCGAACTCGAACATTAAAAAACTGTCATGATATATACAATATTCTATATATCATAATTTTAATATTAGCCTGTTATATAATATTATATTACTGATTCAATATTATAATTTTATATCAGTACACATTTTTATATTAGTTTTATTATCTAGTTATTAAGTCGATTTATATTTAATAATATTTAATGTCTTGATGATAATAAAATAATATATGATTTTGATAACTGGATGTCAACACACACTCTCCCATGTTTTTTCCTTATATATTCCCCAGCCTAATCATCTCAGCCAGAGCCTTTCTTTGCACCGAGACGTATGTTGCTCTTTTTCCTGTGTGTGTTTTTTTTGTGTTAATAAATTACCATAATTTTATTTGTGTTTTACTTTAATATCGCTACTATGGAAATATTGTTGCTGAAGAAATTCTATCCAGGTAGGTAAGTATATCATTATACAATTTGCATTTCTTATTTATTTCCTATTATCATAGTAAATGATTTATTCTAGTATTTTTTTAATTTATTACAAAATTAAAAATATTAGGTTAGTTCAAAAAATTTGAAAATTAAAACTAAAATTATAATATTACATGGAAAAACTAATGCGAAAAAAATAGAATTTTTCCTTTTCGTAACAAGGCCGTAGTACCTTACCACAGAATATTGTATAGGTGACCACACAGAGTCAGCATCGAATGATTTTCGAACCAAACTATTGGGTATTTGGTTCGGTTTGATTATTTGCAATTTTCAGTTTGATTTGCAAACTAAACTGAATATCCTGAGTTTGGTTCGATTTGGTTCAAAAATCAAACAGTTTGTCACATCTCTAATAGTATGCAATGAGGATTTATATTAACTGTACAAATGTTAAATCAAAAAACAAAAACAATATTATCTAATTAATATTTTTTTCATTATATCCAGAATCTTAAAATATGCTATTTTAATCCATAAAATATTTTTAAAACTTATTTATAATATTATAGATTGAAGTACTTGATAAAAAAAATGCCAAGTATATTGAAAGTATAGTAAATTATCGTGATCTGATTGCCTTTGTTTTTGAGTTTGGAGAAGACTTGTCTACATTCAATAGAATAATTAAAGAACAACGTTGGCAAAGAATTAATACAATATCTGCTCCACCTCCTAATTATAAAGTTAATGAGATATCAAATTACAATATAAATGAATTAAAGTAAGGAATATAATTGTTAAATATTATTTTATGTTTTAAAACATAGTCTATTAAACATGATAACCTCTGACCATAGGCAACACTTAATGAGTATTCACCCCATGGCAGGTGTACAGACTTTCAATAAATTAGACAGAAACTAATAGCTGGACAAGAACCCAGACTGCACACTGTAAATTGTATTTAAATGTTCAAGTGTTTTCTATTAGGCACATAGAATCTACTGCTTCAGCCCATCAAATCACATTTATCCAATGTTTAGAAAAACTGATTTTCCAACTTTGATTTCAAATTGTTGAATTTGTTTGGTTATTAAAATATATTAGGGCCAATATTAATTTTTACCAATATCTGATGTACCGATAAATGCTGCCGATATAAAACCAATACCCGATAAATAATATTTGAAATCAAAAACATTAGTTGATATTGTAATAACCGATCTATCAGTTTAAATCCCAATTTTGAAATACTTCTTTTCATATTTCAGAGACATGAACATTTTTTTTAAAAATATCAGTTTTAGAAAGAAAAAACCAATACCACAAATGTGGATTATTGTTTTATATAATTTCCCATCCACAATATTTAATATATTATATTATATTAGATTTCAATTTCTATGTTATATTTGCTATATACTATATATTGCATGTGATACAAAAATATATACTAAATAAATATAACCTAGTAACTAATAAGCATTATTTTTTTTTTTTTTAAATAGACAATTTGGTTTCCACTCATATGCAATGGATTTGATAAATGCGCCACCTATTATAAAAAGATATTTAGCTAGAAATTATGATTTACATAACATACCTATTGGATCGAATGAAGTACTTAATAATATGCAACATTTGCCTAATGATATTGGATTCTTTTTTGCTGGTATTTAAATTCATTAGATAGTTAAAAATAATACATTTTCTTTTACAAGTATAATTTTGTTTAATCTAATGATAATAGATAATGCTCAAATCGCCATAAAAACTTCAATTTACACCGGTGAAAAAATTACACGACAAACCCAAATATCAACAGACGCACAATTTTTGCTTTTTTCAGTGGATACAAATTTGATTCAAATATTGACTATGAAGTAATCATATGAATTTTATTATTATTTTTGATTAATCATTTTAAAATTAGAGTTTGTTCTTAACTTGTACTATCAATTGATTTATTAATAAATATTATATAATAATTATTAAATTTAAAAAAAATGTTATATTGAATTAACTTTAATAAGCTATGACAAACATATCCAATTATGTTATAATATATTCATCAATCAATTCATTTATTTTTTTCAGGAAAGAAGAACTTATAGTAGAGTGTAACCATTTTGAACAACAATTAACTGAATCTATGAATCATCTACAAGTTATTGAAGATAGTCGTCAACCTTTTTTTACAAGAAAGAAAGAAATACAAGGAAGTTTTATGAAATATCAAAACAAAAAAAATGCTTTTGATAAAATGACAAAAGATGTAGAGTTTACTCGAAGTGAACTTAAAAGAGAAGAGGAAAAATCAACCAAATATGTAGTTGAAAAAAAAGTTTGTTTGCAAAGAATTATTAAGCGCTGTCTCTCGTACGTAATATAGTAACAAATATATTTCACATTTAGGCAATTGTAATTCTCTAGTTAAAGGCAATTTATTATACATTTTATAAAAAGATCATTTTTTACTATGCCTTTGTTAAATGATTTTTTAAACATTTTCATTTATTAAAACCCATTTTTTTATGAAATTAAAATACTATAAATAATCATTTCATTAATTTGTAATAAATGCCCTTTTTTAAAATCTACAATAGATCCTTTGTCCTCAATTCAACCAAAGAGTCCCTTTCATTGTAGTACAATGTGTATTTATTTCTATATTATGCGTGAGGCAGACAGAGAAAACAAGTTATTTGTAGAAAATCCCAATATTTGGCTTATTGACTTTTATTTTTATATTGTTAGCAAAAAACCCAGAAGTATTTTGATTCAATGAGTGAAGCAGTTGAACTTTTAAACAATTATACTGCATGTATTAAATTGTTCATGGCTTCAACTCTTATTGTTAATCATTTTTGTGATGGGATGCACGAAGAAAATATGATTTTGATGCAATTAAAATCAATTTATGAAGCTACTCTGGTAAAGTGCTTATACATTTTAAACGATTAGCTTAAGTAATGTTCAGTAAAGTTAACTATTGTTTTTTTGATCTATATCCATAGAATAACTTTAATGAATATCTGATGTACCTACGAAAATTGGAATCTGAATTCAAGAAAATGTTGGATGTGGCTTTACATTGGTCTCAAGGAGTGACTCCTTATGATACTGCATTATTTGAACCATTTAAAGAAAAATTTGATAGTATAGAACAAAATGATATAAGCGACTTAGATGAGTTAATTGTTGAGATGAAAGCTAAACTCAACTGTCTCAATATTGACCCTAACGCGCCTAAGGTATTTGTATGCTGACTTAATGATTAAGTTATAAAAAACTGTATGAGACATTATATTTTATTAAACAGATAATACAAGAATATAAAAACCGTAAGCTAAATATCAAAAATATGCAAAAGCAAATGGAGGATTTAAATAACAATGCACAATCTAAAGAAACTGAAATAGAAACATTACAATCTGAATGGCTACCAAAGCTAAAAGCACTTGTTAATTTACTGAGTAAAAATTTTTCGACTTTTCTTACTTCATTTGGTTGTGATGGTGTAATTGAATTAGATACTGGTGTCACAAGGGTATATGATCATAATTAACATTTATATATTTTATTTACAATGATTTAAAATTGTGGTTTTTGTAGTATGATTTTGAAGCTTATGGACTAATGATAAAAGTACAATTTCGTAATGATAATCCTTCAATGAGGCAATTGGATGTTAAAAGTCAAAGTGGTGGAGAACGAGCATTGACAACAGCTCTCTTTTTGTTAGCTCTCCAAGAAGTCACACATTTTCCATTTAGAATTGTTGATGAAATTAATCAGGTTTGTCCAAATATGTAATTGAACTATAAATGATTATTCATAGTTATTTATTTAAAACAAATTCTTACTGGTTTTTTACAAATATTTTGAAGTGCTTATTTCAAAGCTATAATATAATTTTAAGTACTATAAATCCTGAACCCTGATAATTATGATTAGTATTTATTAATTTCTTTTTATACTATAGGGTATGGACAAGGTTTATGAAAGGAAACTAATGGAACTATTTATGCATTTATTTGAAGACAGAAACAATCAGTATTTTGTTATTACACCAAAAGTATGTACAAAATATTTATTCTAATGAAATACAAATATCTGACAATATCTGTGGTTCTAATTTGTTAATGTTTTATGTTTTGTGTACGTATTGAATTAATAGTGGCACTTTTTAAATAGTTAAAAGAAAATTATTAACTATTTTTTATTATTTTTTTTTTTTGTAGTTAATATAATCTTTGATAATATAAAATAATATAGTATTTAATTATGTTTCAGTTAATAAAAAATCTTTCGTTCAGGAATACCACAGTAGATATTATAAATTGTCGTTTCAATTGTAGAAATAAATAACCGTTAAGTATTTATATAGAAGATCTTTATGTGTATGATTTTTTTTTTATTCTGGTTATTAAATAATGGTTATCACAGTTTTTAAATATTGTATTTATTTTCTAGTTTTAAATTCGTGTTTAATAATGTTTTAATGTTATTTTGTTTCTAATGTTAATATTCTTTATAGTTCTCAGATATGATTAGTTATTATAATGTTTTTTACTTGTAATAAAAATTATTTATGAGTTATTTTTAATGTGATAAAAGGTTGCATTATGTTATTTAATATTAAATATAATTTGTTTTTTATTTATTTTAACTAGTTTTTGAAAATTGTGTTCCCATAATATTTTATAAATTTTACAAATTTAACCATTTCGAAATATTTAACTAGTTGTTCAAACTAATTGCAAATTTGTAGAGATTTAAAATTTAAACAGAATATTTGTATTTGAACTATAATTCATTTTGATAAAACAATAAATTATAATTAAAGGTTCTACAATTGGGAGTTTGAAAACTTTTTTAAGGCAACCTTTATTTCTTTTCCTTCTTATTTTGTTTTAATAGATTTATTATTTGATTTTCAATTTATTATTATGATATTGTATTTAAAAGATTATTTACAGTTTGATTATGAAATTTTCATTTTATTTACAGGATATATTTTATATATATATATATATTAATGTCCTTTATTTGTTCCTGTTATAATGTGGACAATTTTATTTAAACATGTTACATGTGTAGGTTAACTAGATCATAGAGTAATATAGAGGTGGTGATCCCTATGACGACAGTGTAACAAAATTGAAGCCCAACTGTCGCTCATCGGTCATTGACCCTAAAAAGAGTATTTACGAAAAATGTGTTCCGTTAGATAGCATTGCACTTCAACAAACATTGCCATAGAGTTATTAGCACCGTTAACAAGATATACTAACAAAACCACGAGAGTAAAACTATAAATCGAGAACACAAGTGTGGTACAAATGTGATGTGTGTTGTACCTTGTACAATCACTATAATGATAACTACAAAACCCTGATCTAATCTATGTTAACTCCATAGACCTTATACTAACCTTAGTATAGGATCTATGATTAACTTTAATCTACGTTATCAATGTTACCATAATATCCATCTCTTAGTAATATAATCATTGTTATTATTTTACCCAATATAAGTATGAATTAAAAAATTGTATATAAATTATTTTACATTATTTTTTGTTAAACGAAAAACAAATAAATTTGACAAACCAATACTTAATAATATTTACAAAATCAATTTAATATAACAAAACAACTTATGCTAAATTATGCTAAACTTATGCTTCAATTAAATTTATTTACAAACTACAAATTAGCCTATCTATTTGGTTTTTAAATTTTTCTCTCTGATATCACTTTCTCATCATTTATTCTTTTTTATCCTCAACTATTTATTTAACTTCTTCCTTCTCCAACTCTAAACTTAATGTTTTCCTTTTACTTAAAAATATTATATTTCTTCTTACTTCTCTCCCCTTACAATCTTTCTCCTAGTAACATCTTGGCCATTTTAGTTTTTACAATTGTTGTCTCATTTCAAGTTTTGTTAAGTTTATCCTGTAACCAAACTTTTTTATTTTCATAAAATATAGACTCTTTTACTGTTCCTGTTACTCACCATTTTTTCTTTTACATTATTATTACTATTTTTAATCTGCATATCTTTTATAGGTAATTTTGTTCTTAACATTCAATTTTGTAATAAATTTGCAGGGGATTTACCAGTATTCACCAATGGTGTATTTCTGTAGCTAAGCAAACAATTTTCTAAGTCACCATTTGTCTCTACATATTTTTTTATCATCTTTATTATACCTACATATACATATCTTTGCCAACTGACAGGATAATTTGGACTGGAATTATTAATTTCAATCCCTCAATGTTTAGCAAATAATCCATACTGATGGCTGTTAAATGGCATATTATCCGCTACTAAATTACTTGGGATACCAAACCTTGAAAATATTTGTTTTACATTTTTTAACGAACTCCTGCACTGTCTTCCATTTTAGTTTATAAATGTCTACTCATTTAGAGAAATAATCTACCACAATCAAATAATCTTTCCCACTAAAGTGATTAATATCCACACCTACTTTATCAAATGGTATGTCTGGTATCACATGATACAATAATTTAGTTTTATTATTACCTCTTTTATATTTATTACAAATCCAACATGTCGATACTAAATTAGTAATACCAGACAACATACCAGACTACATTACATGTTGTTTAGCTAACTGTTTTGTTTTTCGAATCTCTTTATGACTATCATGTAAACGTCTTAACACTTTTGATATAACTACTCTATTTTTAAAATATATCAGTTCATCTTCAACCACCGATTCTGTTTTTATTTTATAAAAATGATTCATCTCATTTTTTCTTTTAGTTTATTCGGTCATCCATTTAAATAATATTCTTTTACTCTTTTTAACATTACATTCCTATTAGTCTCATCTTTTATTAATTTAGTCTTTCCGAACTGTAAACTCTGCCATATTTTCTATATGTATTAAATCTTTCAACGACTCATCATCCTTTTCATTTCTCCGTATTGTATTCCTAGTCAACAAATCTATAATATACATATATTTACCAGTTATTCTCTACTAGATCCAAACTTTTTTTAACTATGGACACCAATAGTTGATGATCTGTAAATACCTTTACATTGTTGTGACGATAAATGTAATAATGAAATTTCTTAACAGCCAACATTACCGTTAATAACTCTTTTTCTAATATTGCATCTAATTGTTCAGTTTTTGTTAATGACCTTGAAGCAAATCACACTGGTTTATTTAACTGTACCAAACAACAAGCAATTGCATCTTTCAAACCATCACACTGAACCTGCATTTTTTTTTTTGGCATCTAAAGGATTTTTCACTAATTAAATATTTTACATTTTCTAATGCCTTTTCGTGTTCTTTTGCCCAATTCAATAATATACGTTTTTTCAGTAAGTTCCTCATTGGTCCAACAATTAGGAAGTCAAATACGTATTCACTTAATTTTATTGTTACATAATATGATAAACGATTAGTTGGTTATAAAATACACGTTTTTAACATTCTAAACAATTGTCAATCGGTGTACTATAGTAGTATAGTCTATATAGGTACTCTTGTAACTATTACGGGTTGAACATATTTTAGTAACTGCTGCAAGAGACTGTAAAATGGTTAATGTGTAAAAACTCTAACAACGTTTGTTTATTATATTTTTCATATTTGTTTTTTTTAATTTTTATTTAATTCACAAATTTTATTATACACCAACTCATAAAAATCATACTTCTTATAATCTACCGTCTAAAATAATATCTAAAAAAAAAAAAATAAAATAAAATAAAATAAAATAATAATAATAATAAAATAATAAAACAAATATTATACAATCGAATTTATCGACTTAAATGATAATCTAAATCAAATTTACAAAAAAAAAAAAAAAAAATACATTTATATATAGTAATAATAATGTGTTAAGGCACTATAATTAACCCATAATAGTATATATTTTATTATATTTACCTATATTACATATATAGATGAAATACTATTTTTTATAATTTTTTTTCAAATGTATATCATATTATTTAGTATTACTATATAAAAACCTAAACAAAGTTCCCTAGTTTAAAAAAAATATATGTATATAGTATATTATATTTATATATTTTATATATGGCAGCCGTGAAAATCAATATATACGAATATTTTTATACCAAAAAAATTCTATCACAATACTTTTCATGAAAAAAAAAAAAAACAATCATAATATTACATCGCCCGAAGTTTAATATTATTACCATTTCAATGCGTATTAAAGGTGCCTATAGATTTTTTTTTTTAATGCGATTTCCGGCAGTGTCCGGCCGTACGATGATTTCTTGAGGGGGCGGCCGGGAAGCTTTCGCCTCCCTCGTAAAAACGGACAGCGCGCGATCGACGGGCAGGACGAGAAGACGCGCTTGAGTAATTTTCATAATTTCTAATTTTATTGTACGCGGAGTCGCTAACCGCGTGTGTGTGTGTGTGTGGGGAGGGGGTGGGCGACGCGGAACCGAACGCGTTCGCGGGCCCACGTGGAGTTTAGCGGAAAAAAAAAACGATCACGTCATAATGTAAAAATACCGTCTACGAAATTTGTTCGAACCGTAAAATGTAGAATTTTAAATGCGCGCGACAATCGTTTTATTGAGGGCGGGTTACGAATTTGTGTACGCGTGTCGGGGAGGCGTTCGCACTAGCGAATCACCCGCGTCTCGCGGGCGTTCGTCGCGCATAAAAGCTGGTCGCGACGTATTTTTCATCGACAAACGCCGTCGCCCGATCCAAAGGCGTTATACCCACGAAAATGTATACGCGCGCGTTGAATTTTTTTTACCTGTTGTTTTTTTTTTTACGATCCGAGCGGCCGATTTCGCAGTGGCGCGCGGACGACGACGCCGGGGGAACGGGGCGCGCGTGTACAATAACATCATCCGTTTTGGCGGGAGAGTCGGACGAATTTTACAAGACTCCCGTGCGCAAACATCGTATGCGAAAACAATAGCAATGGACCGTTTATCAAAACGTTGTGGTATTTCGATACTGACGTACGTCAGTACTGCGTGTCGGTAAACGGTATGCTAAAGCGATAGCCCGGTGTAAAAACGATAAAACGTTCGATTCGTTCACACGCCTGTACGAATAATAATGATAATAATGATAAAAAAATAAAACGTTAAGCAACTGCAATGTCCCCGTGCCGAACGCAAACAAGAGACGCGAGACTATACGAGAGACGATCATCACCGTACCGCAATAATAATAATAACAATAAATAATAGACGTGACTATATGGATGTATACAACAAAATAATAATGTACAGTGCTATACGACAATAATGATAATAATAATAATAATAATTAATAATCTAAACGAGACTAGTTTAATAAAATTAATAATTGAAAGGAAATCATTAAAACGGTGATCGACTCTCGGACCGAGTCCGTTTGCCGCGTGCGAAAAAAACGCGAAAATTAGAAAAAAAATAAAACCCGATGAGGTCGGGCGGCGGTCCGATGTTCGCGTCGATAAAAAAAAAAATCAACCGGACGGGGTTTTTTTTTTCTTTCTATTTTTCAACCCGAGTCACTTTATGAGGGGTAAGGGGGGGGGGCAAATAAAACGAAAAATTCCGAAGGGGGCGACAACAAGGTAAATTCCGCGAGGCGTTCCGACTGCACCGCCCGTGACAGTCACGCGCGCGCACTTCGCGCCTCGTCCGTCCGCGCCCGCATTGTCGTCGCTTCGATTGAGCTTTTTTTCTTTTTTCTACATTTTATAACAATATAATAATGCATTCGTAATGATATCAGTAGTGTGACATAATATATTCATGATATCATGACGTAACGTACCGTGTCATAGACAATCGTAACGTGACCAAGGGCGCCCGCGGGGGGGGGGGGTTGC